AATAGAAGATTGAAGCTAAACAATTACACATCCAATTAATTTTTTATTTTGTTTCTTGCTTGGGTGATGATCTGTGATATCAGATTATATCGATATCACTTATATCTAAAGGACTGTGCTCACATAACATATGGCAGGCACTTAAAACCAAACACAGTCCAAGTTAAATAATATTCTCATTTTTACAAAGCTCTTTTCAAACTGTCTCTAAATATATCTTTAAGTCATGAGTTTATAAATATAAAACACATTCCAACATTAGTTATAAAAGTAAGATAATGAGACTAGCAAGTTCTATGAATTACTACAGAAAGCAATCTCATTACTTTATAATTAGGCATTATTCAAGATTGCAGGACACATTAAAAATAAGGCTAAAAATAAGGTGGTGAGAAAGTAACATAGAAAGTACAGAGAACAACAACATATGGTAAGGCAACATGAGAGTGTGGTTACTAGGCTATAAAACCAACAAAAATCAGTCATCTGTTCAATACAGGTCTCATTTTGAAGCCAAAGACAGCCTCATCAGATATGACCCATCAGGGCTTTAAACTGCATACCACCTTATGCATGCTTGCAGATATAATTTATTAATCACCTGCTATTTGCCAAGACATGGAGTCCTGGTTAGGAGGAAACAAATAAAAAAATATTTATCATCTTTTTCCATATATCAAAGAGTAAACTATGCAATATTCTACATATTTTCATTCTTTAACATGTGGTTATGTTTTCACTTTAAGCCCAATATTACTTTATGTTATATAAATCTATAAAAAGTATAACTTAGAAGTCTTTAAAGAGTCTCTATTGCCTTCAGCTATTTTATAGGAATAAGCTGACTTTTAACGTCACTGAGAAAAATCTAAAGAAGTGACAGTGATTTTTACGTCTGGAAGAGAACAAATACCAATGAAATTTAATCTCTGGAAACAATTCCAGGCATAGAATAAATCAGCAGTTCTCAAATATTTTAGTTTCAGGACCCCTGAACATTCATAAAAATTGAGAACACCAAGGAGATTTTGCTTGTGTTGGTCACATTTGTTGACATTACCATTTTACAAATTAAAATGGAAAAATAATTGATATATTAATTCATTTTAAAACAGTAATAATAAACTCATTTCATGCTAACATACAACCAACATTTTGATAAATAACTATATTTTCTAAAAAAAAAAGTTAGTAATAACAGAGCATTGCCTTACATTTTTACAAAATTTTTTAATGTCTAAATTAATATAAGAACACTAGATTTTAATATTTCCTTTTGCAATCAATTTGTCTCTTGTTCTTTGTTATTTTGGTTGAAGTATATAAAAATTATGTAGCCTCATATAAATATATAACTGAAAAAGGGGGAGGATTTAATAGTCTTTTCAGATAGTTATGAGTATTCTCCCTTGATACTATTACCAAAATTTAACAAGTGGTAGTTTCTTACAGTTAAGTTGCAATGTAAGATCATGCCTTAACACGTTAAAATCCATTGGTCTATTTTATATTTTGAAACAATCTTTTACCCATGCATAACCTCGTAACAATATGCATGATTATTTGGAAACTATTGGTTCACTGAGTTACAGATCTTCCAAATGATGACATATTTTATTATGCAAAAATAAATAAATCACACTTGCTAGCTGAAGAGTCTTTAAGTATGAGAAACAGTCAAGCTCACTTTGGCAGGTACAAGTGTTCCAGAATTCTAATTTTTGTTTGAAACTCAATTTTTTATCACTGGAAACAAGTACCATCAGTTGTTTTTCTTGGAGTCACTGACTCACTTCATTGATTTTCATGAAAATGTATGCCAGATGCCCAAATCCAAATAACAGGAATTTGTCAGCCATTTTTCTCTGAGTAAAACTAGTGTTCTGGGAAAAGAGCAGCCAGTTGAACTTACAACTTAGTATCTGCAAAAGCAGGTACTTTCCTTCAGGGCAACGATTATGTCTGGCTAACACAGAGCTGCTTTATTTGTGATTCTCGTGACATGGAACACTAAAGACACAGGGATTCGAGGGTCAAGATTTTGTCTAATTAATATTTTGTACTGCTTCATCAAAGATATTCTAATGCAAAAACTGGCACCTTTAGAACTACAGGCGAGTGGGGGAGAATAAAGCAATGATAACTGATACAGTTTAGTGCCACTGCCTTGATTTGTATAAAGAAGCTAAGAGACAGCATTTGTGGCAACCACTGCTTGTGCAGTGCAACTGTCAATAAAATGAAAAAGTCATCTTAGTATTTGTATAAAATTAGGTTTGACCTTTGTTGAACTCCTGAAATATTTCAGGAACTCCCAGGGGTACTTGGGCTACACTTTGAGAATGACTTCAGTAAGTAAGAGATATTATTGATGATGGTGATAATGTTAAAGTTGTCTCATGTTACTCCTGTCTTCAGATCATTCCAAGGTGAAAGTAAGAGTTCTATGCTTCTACTCTTAATAGTTCCAGAAATAAAAATTCTCTAATATTCCTGATGATCAAGTTCAATGTTTAATCTTTTTTTTTATTTTTGTTTTTAGAGAGAGAGGAAGGGAGAAAGAGAACATAAGCTGTCTCTTGACACACCCCGAAGCGGGACCAAGCCACAGCCCAGACATGTGCTCTGGCCGGACAGAACAGGTGAGCTTTCACTTTGCAGGATGACACCCAACCAACTGAGCCACACTGGTCATGGCCAATATTTGATCTTCTAGACTCAGCAACACTTTTCCTATATCAACCACCTAAACTTTACTCTTTCCAATACAGATATACTCTATTTCTCTCATATGGGCTTAGAGAATAACCAATCACGTTTTCTTTTTCTTTCCAACAAGTCTACCAGTATAGGTGCTAAGGCCTCCATATGAAAGTTCTGTCTTCCGCAATGGAAGGCAACTGAACTCATTCAAATTCTGAGATTTCTAGGAACAGACATATGGATACAATAAACCAATACCAACACAATGTAGGAACAGAACTTGTGAGATAAGCCAGCTTTGAAAACTTACTATAATGACCCAAAAAGCCAGAGAAATACTCAAAAACTACCTCTTATTTAGGCAGTTTCTAAAATGTTTTTTGAGGGTTTTTTTTTTTCCAGTTTGGCTGTTTATGCAGTTTAACAGAACCTGAAAGTGTTTGTTATCTGAACTCTAAGCCTTTTCATGTTTTCATATTAAAATACATTCATAAGTTCAACAAAGACTTTTGAGTACCTACTATGTTCCAGTGTAGGTGCTAAAGATACAATAATGAACAATAAGACATTTTACTCAGAGCTCTTTCCTCTTTAGTGAAAAGGGGTAACAAATAAATAAGCGGACTTACAAATAACAAAGGGAATTTAAGTGTGATCAATGTTAGGAAAAAAAAGTAAAACTAGGTGAAGAAAGGAAGACCAATCAATTGAGAGAAAGGGTGATTACTTTTATAAGAAAATCTTCATTGAGAAGACATCTTTGGAGCTGAGACATTATGAGGCTTTGGAAAAAGAGTATCCAAACAGAGTGGCTAGGAAGTACTGATGCCCTGAGGCAGGCACTGAAACACACAAGTCTGGCTGAAACATGCTGACCAAAGAGGAGAATTACAGAGGAAGTAAGAGCCACAGGCAGGCACCACCAGGTCGTGGAGGGCATGAGGGAAAGCTGGCTTTACAGGCACCACAATGGTTTTCACACCGATGGGGCCACCTATCTTTCTAAAAATAAGAGATGATGACACTAAAATATAGAAGGAAAGATGACAGGTTAGAAGTCACAAGACAGATTTAAATCCCAGTTCTTCCCATTGTATCTTAGGAGCAAAAAAGAAAAAAAGGAAAGGGAAATTGATGTTTATTAAGTACTAGTAACTGCCCAATTTTGAACCAGTATTTGATCTTGTGTCAAATAATTCAACTGGGGTTCCTGGGTAAATTATTTGCTCAGGTCTCTAAGCCTCAGGTGCTAATCCTATAAAGTGAATAGTAATATTTGTTACAGCTGTGTTATGGATTGTCAGGTGCATGAAAAACTTCACATGTAAAGTTCTTTGATGACTGAATATCTATTAAAAGGTATTATCATTATAAATAAACATATTTGTTTAAGTTATAGATTTGTATGACATTGGTCCTCCCTACTCTAGGAGACTCTGTTTCTAGTATAGAAAATCACCACTACGTGTAGATCTCCTAATGATTGTCAAAACCCCAATATGAGCTACCATGAGGCCTATGACCTACATTTTTTTTTTCAAGCTCTATCCCTTCACATAATTCTTAATCACTTCACTTTGCACCTACACCCTTCTAAAACTACAGGAATCAACTTGCAAAGGGAAAGGCTCTCTTGTTCCTCGGTGCCCTCTCATAGGCACTGAGCTGTTGCTGTCACAGGCGACACCTGTGAGGCAGTTTCATGAACTCTCACATTACTGAACAGGAAACCAAGATGATTACGTATCTTTGAAAACGTGGAAAGAACTGATAAGGACAGTAAAACAGCCTAATTAATTAAGCTAGCCAAGAAGGTTGATAAGAAAGGCATTTACACCCCACATGGCAGAATGCTATAGCTACTTAAGTCCATTTCACATGTGAAAAAAACTCCTTAAAATATTGTATTTAATAAAATTGCAATTACAATTATTCATAGATACTTTCAATACATATTATTTCACTTGTTTATGTGGTAATCAAATAGTAGCTAAAAAGTAAATCACATGAAGAATATAATGATACATTCTGTGAAGCGCATTAAGTTGAAAGATAACTGCTAAAGTTTCATTTGCTAACTTGTTATTACTTCTGTTAGCTCATTAAGCTTCTGACTCAAACTGAACTTATAAAAGTGAAGACCTTATCATTCACACATGGATCCACTGACTCCATCATACTTCTTGGCACAGAGTAGATACTCAAGTTATCTCATCAAATGAAAGAAAGCCCACTTCCAAACAAATCCACCCACAACGAATTTTTTAACTCCAAAATCCTCCAAGCTCACTGCTCACCTCTGGTATACAAGCTCCTGTGAAACCAAACAAGCCATTGGCATTGTCACTTTTTTGTATTATTAATCTTGCAGTAGTATTCTCTTCAGAAATACGAGCTCCTCCACATACAGAGACTAGTTTAAGGATGAATAACTCCTCTCCTTCCTCTTCATTGTCATCTTTTGCAGAAATAATGAAGGATTTGTTAGTTTCTCCCTGTCTGAACTCCAGGTACCCAGAAACAGGGTGTAAATCGCTCTTTGCTGGCATGGCATGCAGTTCATAAATTTCTTCCAGGGTCAGTTTCCGCTCATAGAACCTCACGTCCTGCATCAGACCAGTAAATCTGTCACTGCCATTCATTCCTGCCCCAATTCTCAGTGTTCCAGGACCTGAAATTAGAGATGGGTTTAAATGCTCCAATGTGCACTACTATCCTGTCCTGAATTACAAGTATGACTCAGACAGTGAAGCAACTTTGATAGAAGTTTCTATAAGCTTTTGTATAACTAGAATATAATCAAATAAACATTTTCTATTATGATTAAAAAATGAATCAGTAATCACTGAAATTTAAGATATTTTGTACATGTGTATGTATGTATATATATATGTATGTGTGTGCGTGTGTGTATTTGGATAGATATTTCTAAGAATGGAAACATTTAATTCAGGTCACAATTTTAAAGCTTTAGTATGACTATTTGAAAACTTCAAGGCTTGATCTGTTAGAAATTCATCTTGAGTTAAATAAAATTGAGAGAATACAGAAAAATAAGATTTCATGGACAAAATAAAACTCTTTATCCATAAAACCAATGCAATGGAAATAAAAAAGAAGTCTTCTTTTTTCTTCCTGGGAACAACAACATAAGCAAGTCTTGAGTACTAACAGTATGCAGCCCAACTACACTGCTACATATGAATAACATCCCTTTTCAGGAATTCACCGGTTCTTATTTCTTTACTTATTTCCCCTCCAACTAGGATACCGGTTTAAGATGAGAGTTTGGCAGTGATTTGGGGGGAAAGTACAAGTAATATTTCTTATCAATATCACCAATCAAGACATTTTTACAAGTCACCCCCCAGATACTCTTTCAGGGCAGTTCACACGTATCCTGACCATTTTCACAGTTGTCCCCTGCCTGCTCCAGGGGTTCTGGACAGATTCTACAGTAATGAGAGTGAAATATCTACAACAGGCAAAAAATAGGGCTGAGCCTGATAAACAATACTAAGCAAAAACACCACTCAAAATATGTGCACTTCTCAATTCCATTTACATAAATTAAAAACAGGAAAAGCTACTCTTAGGCTCTTAGAAATGGCAATACTAGGTGAAGTGGGTAAGACCCCTAAATGCAGGAGGTTCAGAAGGAAAATATTCTGTTATGCGATAACCACATAAAGACTGCTCTACTTCCTAAGTGAAAAACAGAATCAAATCATAGGATGGAAGGGCTAAAAGGGAACTGGTGATTATAATGGAGATTACCGATATTGTGTGTAAACATGCACATGCGTTTCTCAAGAAAACAGCACAGGCTCCAGCTTAAAGCCAACAAAGACTGTCTCTTCAAAGCATTCCACAGAATTTACTAAATTACCCCTTATACTCTAAACCCGTGTAACTGCTAGAGATTTCACAGTAGTTCTCTTCTGATTCCTCTTTAGCCTTAACCTCATCATCCTCCAGCTTCAGCAATACTGAGCTAGCAGCAGTTCTCATATAGACTATGCTGTTTCACATTTCTACATCTTTGCTCTTTTCTCTACCTGAAATATTATGCCCCACCCCACATTACCACAAGAGGAATAAATATTCCTCCTTTGTATTTTTTCTTTCTCCCTACAATGTATTAAGGTAATCCATTTTAACATCTCTCTCCCCGAGCCTATTCCCGGTACCTCCAGGACAAAGATTTTGCCTGATTCCTTTCTGTAATGCTCAGCACAGAATTTATTGACTTGGAAGGCACGTAATTTTACTTAAACAAATTAAGCCAATACACAAGAATGTTTTAAAATACCTGTTAGCCTTTTTAAAAAATCAAATATAAAAAATTTCAGATTCATTGTCCTAGTTGTGAAGATAACACTCACCATCAGTAATGGCTTCTCCCTTCAGACTCTTGATTCCTCTGGGCACTGCATTTCCATCAAGGTAGAATTCAATTATACCATCATCCAGAATAATTAGAGGATGAAGCCAAATATTTTCTTCTAAATATTTCATGACTGTTGTCTTGGCAGTATAGGTAGCATTGGAACCCAAAGTTTTGTAATGAAGGGAAAGTGTCACATGGGATTCATTGGTTTGAATTTTCACCCCATAGTAGATGCTTCCGTTACCATCATCCTTTGCTATGACAAATCCATTGGTGTTGGCATTGGGCATTACCCAAGCTGAAAAGGTAAAGTTGGCAATTGAGTTGTTCCTGGAAGGATGGTATTTTGGACTAACAGTTCCAAATGCACCCTCTAGTCCACTGAAGTACAAAGCATCTGTTCCACTATGGTGACGTCTCATATGCGGTTGTAAAGGCACAGTGCTGGGGAAAATTCCAACAAGCAAAAAATCTATCATTGGAGGCAAACCAGCAGGCAACTCACTAGAAAGTATTTCCCAACCTACACGGACATCACCGAAGACACCCTGCTGCCTCAAAATTGTAAAGTTGGTGATATAAGACATGTCATCTTCTGAGAGAACATCTTCTGCTACTTCTCTTTCTAAGCACTCTGGATCCAAGATAAAAACTCCAAATGGGTCATCATTGAGTGGAATCATTACTGTCACCTGGAGGTTGGTTCCTGCTAGTTGGCCCCCAGGACCTGGAGACCCACCTAGAATGAGAACATTTGTAATAAATGAAAAACCAGAATTTTAAGTACTCTCTAGCTTAAGGTGAAGACAAAAGGTTTATATAGCAACTTTTGGTTAAATACTTTACTCGTTCATCAATGAACAATACTGTTACCATACAACTTTTACCACATTTTCATTGGTATTCAGCATAACTTTACTTAAAACCAGGATAGCCTGAAAAGAGAATATTAGCTAGTAAGGTTTGATTCCTGTGCTTAAAACCAAAAGTGATGGAAAAATTGATTGTTTCAAAAATGACCAATCTTTAAGCTACCATAAATCTCTTTGATAACTTCCATTGTTTTGCTGGCGACACTATATTTGGGAGGGTAAAAACATCTATTTACAAGTTTGAACATGAATGTAAGTCTCCATCCATACAATTTAAACAAGCTAAGACCACTAAATAAACATTATAAACACTTCTATCAAAAAAAGTATTTTGATTATTGAGATACACTTATTTCTTCAGTAACTGTATTTTTTTCTATAGGTCTAATTATTTTAATGTAAAATATTAAATTTTAGTGGTAAAATATAAGAGAGGAAAAACATATCACCTGAAATATTTACTAGCTTTAACATATAAAACTCATTAAATTCAGGAATTTTATCTGGAAAAGCATGAAGAATGATTGGTTTGGCTCCCTCTCCATCCATAAAGTTAACAGTTCCTGAAGTTTCATAGAACTCCTGTCCAGGGTGCAAAGCAGAATCGTTCTGGAACAGCTGCCAAGCCACAGACACATTGCCAAAGTGTCCTCGCTGCCTCACAATCCTGCATAGTAAATTAAAGAAAATTAATTTTCATAAAATATTTATAAGAGGTGAATCGAACTCTAATGGAGGCTTTCTGTATTTTCTCAGAAACATGCTTGTTCTATTTATCATCTCTAATATAAAGCAGCCACCAGTCCTCACTGAGCAACCATGAAAAATCTCATGGAAAGGGAATAATGAAGAACTTTAATAAAGAGAAGCAATCTTCCAAGTCATAGTCTTCAAAGTTCAAACTAAAAGATAAATACTAAGCCCAATGAAAAAAATATTAAATGAGAATTGGCAACTGTTCTTCAAAAGCAAAGTACAGAGTGAGGATAGTCACATATCATTTGAGAGGAGTTCCAGGAGACCTTGGATATTTAAGTTTCTCAGTCCTGACAAAGGATGGAAGTTGGGGTGAGGAATTTGAGGAGAGTAATTTCTACTTGCCCTCTAAAGTGTGATTTTTTTTTTCAAGTGACAACAGCAAAAGAAAAGTTTACAATTCATTCAGGCTACCAACTCTGAAATTATTCAATCCTTAACCAATGTTTTCATTTTGAAAGATAAGTATTTTCAGAAGATTTTATTTTATTGTACCCAATTTTGAACTTTTCCTCATCCAGATATGCTTACCAAAATGCATTAGTCTTTCCTTCTTCTACTGCTTTGTCTATGGGCTCCAAAGAAAAAATACCATTTGGGTCATCATTAGCTTCAATTATCACTGTAGCTATTCCATGTTGATATACTACTGTATCACCTAAATTAAAAATGGAAAAGTCAAAATAACAAAGAGTAGTTAACTTCCTGTTAAGCTAGTATTTTAATTAATAAATATAATTAAATTCAAATTTCAGCAATTTCCTCACTGAAAGTCATAAATAAATGAGAGTGATACCTAAATAAGTTTCATGCGACTTGTCTTTGAGGAAATGTCTAATTACAAAAGAACTACTTTATTGAAAAATGTACAAGATACTTTTCTTCACAATAAGAATATCACTTCAATACTTTAATTAGAAATCAAAAACATAGCTTTATCAAATTTCAAATTTTTGATGTAGATTTCTTCATTTCATGACAAATAATGAAAGGATTACCTACAACATAAAATTACTCCTGTCCATATTAATTGGAATCACTGGCTTCAGTGTCTCCCTTTAATTCTCAGCCTTCAGGCAACAAGAGTTCGATCTGATCTTAGAACAAAGAAATCTTTATGGTAGTAAATTAGATTCCTCTCTACTCCAGTTCTTTCACTTATTGCCAATGTTTTAGGTCTCTTCTCATCACTTCCCTGAGTTACACAGCTCTTTGTTCTGGCTGTTCCCTATGCAAGCAAAAGTCCTTCCCATCTTCACTCCCCTAATTCTCATCACTTCTCAGAACCCAGCTCAAGCAACAACTCTTTCAGGAATTCTTCCTTGAACTGCCAAGTTAAACTAAGTGCATCTCCACTGGGCCACTACAGCACTTCACACTTTGTCAGTCTATCATAACAATCACTACATTTCATTAGTATACACACATGCACACACAATTTCCCTGTAAACTCCTTGGACAAATGCTTAATCAATTCCATGTCCCAGCAGGGCAGATGTTCAGTAACTGGTACACAGAAGTTACTCATCAGTATTACTGGAACTGATACAAATAAAGTTTTCAAAATTAGATGAGGATGCCTAAAACTACAGTTATAGAAACAGAAATTATATGTAGAGCAAACCAGTACATTAAAAATAATTTATATAAATATGCAACTGTACTCAACCTTACTTATTAATTAGCTGATGAAAAGAGGAAAACAAAACATAAAAAATGGCCAATCATTGTATAGAAAATACGGACAATATAGAGTAATAACATAAAATATCATAAACTCTAACAAAAACAAATAAAAAAATAAAACCTAATTCGGGCAGGGTTCTGCTATCTTATGCATCTGTCATGCAACATGTCACCAGTGGTGCTAAAAACTCATTGTTTTTCTTCAGAGGGAACTGAAAATATTTAACAAAGGCCCTACAGATGGCCAAACCCTCTGATCCAGTAATTCCATCTCATGGCATATACCATGAACAGTAATGACCAGGCAAAAACACCCACTGCCATCACTAGCCGGCATATCAGGTAAACTGTCCCTCCTGCTCTGCCATTCTCAATCCCCTCAGGTCCTCAATGTTCTGACATCATAAAAAGGAGAGAAAAGAGAGAGAAAGAACTAAGAAAGGATAGAAAAAGCACAAATTCTAGAGCACAAATTTTTGTAATCCAAGTCTCCACAGCTCAAGTCATTAGACCCTCAGATGTCACCATTTTTAGAAAAATGCACAAGACAGATGCAGAGGCCATACCTTCATACCTCAGGCTAGGGCCCGATCACACCCTGTGCAGGCTTGCTCTCTCACTCTCTCAAAACCAAAAATGTATTTCCCCAATGATACCGCTTACAAAATGAATTAACTTTACTAAAAAAAAGTCATTTCTTCATCAGCTTGCTATACCTCACAGCAAAAACTGTTCTCTACTTTTACTTCCCCGAAATTATTTTATCTGTAGAAATGTCTTTCATTTAAATTTTAGGATAGAGATTGGATTCACCAAAATATGTTTAGTTTACATAAGATCTGACTATGTTGTTTGCAACTGTGTGATTTCTTTTGTGGCCATTATTGTATGAAGTCAAATTTTTTCTCACCAGATGATAGTTTCTACTTACACTTTTTGAAAATTTACTTAAGTCATGTGAAAAATGAGAAAGAGAGAAAAGGGAATAGGAAGAGAGATACAAATGGAGAAGAGAGACAAGTCAGCAAGAATGATAGAGAAACAGCACAAACAAAAATTAAGTGTTCTCTTTCTTTTCCTCTTCCTCTCTGAATATTTCAGTCCAAAAAGCACAAGTCAAGGCACACAGGAGGCATTCACACTGCCTTGGAGGATAGGACACTACAGTGATCAGCACAAGGTGCTAGAGCTTACGCAGGGTGCGGAAGGCATCTCCATTGCAGAGGAGCTTGCTACTGGATGATGGGGTGTGTGGGGTATGAGGGCACCCACATGGCAGGGAGGGGACTGGTGTGGAGCAGGAAGCTTCAACCCTAGTGGGGTAAGAAAGACAATCCCATTGTGGAAAGAGAATAGGAGAAGTAATTGGACACATACAGAGAGAATTGATCAAATTACTAACTATATTGAAGATAATAGCAGGTGGCTTTCTCACTATCAGAGAAGGGAGGAACAAGTATGGAGAGGGAGAAAACTGGAATGAACTCTGAGATACTGGATAGATATCAGTGTGAACTAATGGTTTTCAATATACATAGTTGGACACAGAACTAGAGATGTAAAGTATGTGTGTATACATAAAAACATACCTACATACATATATTCCCTGTCGCTGTACACTAAGAGGACCTATAAGGAGTGTACCCACAGTGACAATCAGCATACCTAGTGCCAGATCCTAGTTTCTAAATAACATTCTTCACTAAAAGGAACCAGGGTTTCCTGGTGAAATAGTCGATTTCAGAGTTGTGAAAGGAAAAATACAAGATGAGTTTCGAACATCTTGCTGTGCCAGAAAGAAGAAAATGTTCAAATAATCACAGAGACATGGCAAAAAGAAAAAGAAGTCACCTGGAACAGGGTACAAATGGCCAAATCTAGGACATTTGACCATCAAAACAAAGAATGACGCAAAACAAAACCCAATGCATTAAATAGAAACTATAAGTCCATACTGATAAATATATCAATGTAATAATTGAAAGTGTGATGAGTAACAAAATGTTTACATATTTTAAAGTATCTCCCTCACAAAATCTACTAATTACAAAGAAGAAAAAGTATAGTAGACAAGGCAGACAGTCACCACCTAAATTTTGGTCAAAGTGAACACTGCAGTAAAGGGACAAGACAAAATCATGTGCCAATTGCAGAGAAATGTTAAGAGCACAGAACCACTTTCTGTGAAATTCCTGCCAAGGATGCGAAACCTGAATCCAATAATGATGAAACTTTAAACAAATCCCAAAATGAGGAACATTTAACTAGTCTACAGTCTTCCATACTCTAAAGATCATAAAAGTCAAGGAAAGACTGAGGAACTACTCAAGACTGAAAAGATTAAAGAGACATGACAATCAAAAACAATACATGATTCAGGAAACGATCATTTTGCTAGAAAGAATATAATTGGGACAACTGGAGAAACTTGAATGGGATCTGAGGCAATGACTGTATTAACATTAACTTCCTGATTTTAATGGTCATACTGTGGTTATGCAGGAGAATGTCTTTATTTGTTAAAAAAAAAAAAAATCAATGTTTTCAGGGGTGATGAAGAGCCATGTCTTCAATTTACTCTCAAAAGGTTCAGGAAAAAAGTAGTTCTTTGTAGTCTTAAATTAATAAAATAAATATTTTAAAATGTCACAGCTCCTCAAACTTAAGAAAGGTGGAGTCAAAACCTTCGCAGGGCCCAAATACTGGGGTCAAAACATCCTACTTCATTTACAGTACGAAGAAGAATGAAGAGCCGATTTTTTCCCCTTTGCAAATTGTCGTTCATTGTGATTAAGAGCTTCAAAGAATTATCAAACAACTGGTTGGGTTCAGTGACCTAGAGTATGCCCAGCACCCTGCTAGAAGAGCAGGGGTTACAGAATCCTTGATGCCCTAAGCCTCTGGTTGACTAGACAAAGCTTAGCACAGCTTCAGCTAGAAGATTTTTATTTCTTACATAAAATCATTATTTTCTATGTGTGCTATATTGCGAAAAAAGATTACAAATAGTGCCATTGAGTATACCAGATACATGGAGGTTCAACACACATATTCCTTACCCCATCCCTCAAGAAAGCAAGGAAACAATTTTGCTCTAAACAGTCACAAATAATGATTACGTATTATTTGGCTACTAGACAGTAGCACTTAATGTCACCTTAATAAAAGCACTGAAACAACAGATCAGCCATAAAAATACAGTTTATTTACCTGTTGAATTAAAGAGGATTACATAAAAGGTTTCATCTGTTTCTGGGATATCATCTTCCTTAATGAATACAGATATTCTCTGCTCTCGACTTCCAACCTCAAAAACAAGCATTTCTCCTTCAATGGGAACAAAGTCTCCCTCTCTTGCAGTAGCCTTCCCATCCATTGTTGCATATTGGACAGTGCAGGCAACATCCACAGATCCATTTCTGAGAACTGTGAAGTCAGCAGATTCACCTTCCTGAACCCTCACGACGCGAGGTTCTAAAATATTCATAAAGAAGGAACATATGAGCTTTTCATATTTAATCTACATGTTTTCTGGTCACTTTATGTTTCTTCCTGCCCCCACAAGAAATGCCCTCCAACATGTCTTTGCTTAAAGACTTACCTCTGGTCCCAAATCCTCTGTGAGGCCACCTTTGATTACTTCTAGCCAATGGTCTTCCTCTTGCCCTAAGTCCTACAGAATCCATTGTCTTTAAAGCCCAGTTTTTTGGTAACTTAAATAGGATCTGAAATCCTCTGCCTACTATTTCATATACCTCATTTCCAAATTTAAACTCTAAGTTCCTTGAGAAAAGGCCCAGATATCTCATGTTTTAATTTTGCCACAGCAGTTTGCAGAAGGCTGATCAAAAGACAAACTAAGTAAGTACATATTAACCAAAGGTTAAGAATATGAATCAGTAAAATGCAAGAGGTTTAAAAGATTCCTGCAACTGTACATTAAACATCTTGCAAAATGGGCTTAAGAAAGATTTAGACCCAATTAAATTGCACAAGTAGAAATAAAAGATGTCTCAGGTGCCAAAGACAGTTCTAAAGAAACCATTAAAGTGGCAAAAATGGAGAAACCTTGATTTATATGTCCATTCAATGTTAGTTACTATAGTAAGTGATCATCCATTAGGTACAATACCCAGAGCCTGAATTGGTTACACTGGGGATTGAAAGAGGTTGTATGGAAAAGCACTCATTTTTGCACAAAAGATAGAAAATACCTTGGAATATGAAGGTGGGGGGGAGAACAACACTAACAAAACGGTACTTACTATTTTTTTCCTTCAGAAGATGTTTAAAAGTATTTTTTAAAATGTCAAAAAAAATCAAATGATCATTCTAACAAATTATAAAATCATATTTAAAAATGTCCCGTTAAAATATAATTGAAAATGCACACATATACTGTTCAAGAAAGATGTAAACTCAAAAAAATAGCAATACCACCTGCAAAATAAATGGGATCATCATTTCTTCTAATCCTCAGAGTTGCAGTAGTCTTATTTCCTAGTTTAGCTCCTCCAGTGGCATTAAGTAGAATAATGGTAAATTCCTCCATTTCCTCTGGAATCTTTTGAAAAATGTTACACATGTTTTAAGTCAGGTGATTTGTACAAATAATTCCATTATACAGGACCCAACAGAAGTAACACCTGCTTGAGTGTGGTTGGTAGGGTAATAATAGGGATGTAGTAATTTATAGTTTTAATTTGAACACTTCACCTAAATTGTCATATGGTGTGCTTGAGTGTGTTGTTACATTATAGAATCACATGGTTATGATTTTGTAATAGAATATTTTGTAATAGAAAGGTGGTGTTATTTGTGATGGACACTGCATATTCCTAAATTATTTTTACCTTTTTAAAAACATATAGCTCTACTGATAACAGTGCTAATGTTCATTTCCTTTTCTGACGCAAACCACCCTAAACTACTTAAGTAGGACTTAGACCCCATCCCCAGAATTTTCATGAGCATTCAGCCAAACAGTGACTTTATTTTGACTCACTATAAAATTTAATGTAAATAGATATTTTGCCTTACGTAAGCTAAAAATAAAAACTTATTATTTCTTTACAAAAATGGGATGTATGTTGTTTACAAGAAAAAATGGAATAGAAAAATAACTTTTGGACATACTTAGAGTGGAGTTCATAATATTAACAAAAGCTCAGCTAGCTCTCAAAGGCTACTTACAAACGTTACTCAGGTTTCACCCAAGTGTGTCATAAAGACCTCATTCCCATGTCTTAGCGAGATGAGGCTGCCCATATCTCTGAGCCTATATGAGTGCCCAAATGGACCCTGTTTCTCTTTCAGCTCATCCACATGAGCTGGACTTCTGCACATCGTAAAACAGTGTTGGATTTTTGTCTCTCACGTTGGCATGGAGTGCAGAAATTGGTATTTTTAATACCATATTTAAGATTGCTATTTTTGTTTAAAAGAAATTTTAAAATTTCTTTTACTTGATTCAACTCATTCTTGAGTGCCTGAATTCTACCACATGTGGTTAACTGAAATCAAAGTATAACTGAAATCATCAGTATCATCACAATACTATCTTTGAAAAGTTGGCAGTAAAGGAGATAGGTTTCTACAACTGTTGTAAATGCAGTTCCCCTCAGAAAGGTCCACTCCCACTGTTACTGAGTTCTTTCTCTCATTACCAGTAAGATGAACACCACGCTGGACCCACCATGATCCATCCGGTCCACAATCTGATTCTGAGGATGCACTGTGGGATGCTTGGTAGATGGCACCATGGCACCCTTGTTTTTAAAAGGCCTAAGCACAGGTAAGCACTTCACCTCTCCCCCAACAATGACTCCCTGATAATTGACACCTACGCAGTGTCACTGGCTGTTATCAGTTCTAAGAGCTAAAAATGCCTTCAGAAAAACCAAAAAGACTCTCCTTTAGCTTACAGTAATACATTATCATACCTGAGTGCTTTTTCAATATATTCACAATAAAATGTTATCAGATATTTAATCATTTAAGAAAGTTATTAAGCAATGACATGTAAAGAGAATTGTATATGCAGCACTTACCTCATCTGGAAGGGAGTAAATGGTGATATTTTTTGAAAATTCCTGATCTCCAAAGAAAACAGTCCCTTGGACAGGAAATACATCTTGTGTAAAGTCTGGAGTAACCACCCATGATACAGTAACATCACCAAAGTTGCCTCGATTTCTTATTATACCATAAACTGCTGTAAAATACAAATGTGTATAATATATGTGAGTATATATTAATTTTAAAATGATGAGTAAAGAAATTGTTCAAATAAGCAAAATTGAAAATAAGACTTCTTTTTAATAAAAGCCAATTATTTGCTTAGCATAGCCTCCAAGGTACATATAAAAATGCCTCAGCCTACTAATCACTTTGTAGGTGTATGGTTGGTAAAACAAATGGACTCAATCATTTGTCACAGTTGGGATTTTAAAAGTCATTCAGCATTCAGAACAAAATGGTGATGCATTAGATACACCTACCACAAAGTCCTATGGGGATATTCAGAACATTTGTAGCTAAAGGAAGCTGCATACTCAAAAGTGATTATAAACCACTTCTCATTTCAGACCACTACAAGAGTTCCCTAGCAGTAGCTCTCAGTTTTAAAATTTCTTTTACTTGATTCAACTCATTCTTGAGTGCCTGAATTCTACCACATGTGGTTAACTGAAATCAAAGTATAACTGAAATCATCAGTATCATCACAATACTATCTTTGAAACAAAAATAGCAATCTTAAATATGGTATTAAAAATACCAATTTCTGCACTCCATGCCATTTCTGAGACAGACAACTAAAAATAACTACCTGCTAAAGAAATTAATTTAAAAATTATTAATGTCCTGTTCAGTAAACAGTAATAGAATATAAAAAGCAAAATAAATTACCACTATAGATATCGTCTCCTTTACTTTCATTTATCGTAACAATTAGATCATCAGAAACAAATTCTATAATCCCATGAGGATCGTCATTTTTTAGAATTGTTATATTGACAACGGTAGCACTTCCCAACTTGCTTTCCCGTTCACCATGGCTGCTGAGGACCACCCAATAGTGCTCATCCAACTAAAATGAACATGTCAAATTAGGAAAAATACAAATCTGAAGTTTTCAGAGCAAATAAATATATATATATTCAAGGATATTAGTACAGTCAATTTTTTTTAGAAACACATAACTCACTCAAAGGACAAAAGAGCTGATATTATTCCTTTAAAATTTTTAACATTCTCCCATCACTCAAGAACAGACATCAGATATAAGTGTACATTATCCAAAAAAGGGAAAAGATAAACAGTAACACTGCTCTGAAATAGTAAGAAGACTACACCTTATCACTGATGAATCTAGTCATTTAAACTAATGAGAGTAAAACAATAAAATTAATTTAAAAGCTATATAAGCATGAGTGTGTAAACATAATGGAACTATGCCTGCTCCCCTTAATATAAAACTTAAATGCATTTCCTTTAAAAAAGTAATTTTAAGAAAAAGTTTAGTTCAAAACCGTATCATTAAAAGTTGCAGTCAATGCAAATGACATAAAATAAGACATAGAACGGAATGGTGATGAACACTGATCACACACACCAAGTTTCATATTATTTGGTATTTCTTTTTGTGGAGCAAACATACATCATTCAAATTTGAATGACTGACTTTGCTTTTTAAGCTTTGTTTTTTCCTTTTTTCAACCACAAGTACTTCTCAATCCATTCTTGCTCACTTCCTTTCCTGTCTCATCAGTGTTCAAAATGTTTATATTTAATAATACACTAGATACTATCAACTTTCCAAGAAAGCACAAAGAAAAAAATAATATCCTGTACCTCTGGTATCCCATCCAATCTTGTCAGCAAGGTGATTATGATCTCCCTCTCTCCGGGTTTAAATTCCAGTACCCCTGTGTTTCCATAGAATTCATTGCTATCTCTTGGCTCTACCCAGTAGCGTAGAAACTGCTTAACAAGAGCTCCCCTGGATCGAATGATGTGGAGCTCTACAGATTCTCCTTCCTAAATAATAATAATCATCATCATCATCATCATTATTGTCGTCATCCACAAAGATTCATGTCTGTTACAATCCTTCTGAAGTTCTGAGTACAGAATAGATTGAAGTTTCTTTCAACTTACTTTTATAATATAGGGTCCTCTGGAAGTAGGAGAAAATTCAAAAATTCCCCCAGGATCATCATTTTCCAAAATAATAAGGTCACGGCTGGTATACCCAGATTTCAGCACTTGATTTTCCACATTGACCCTGAAGAAGTAAGAAGGGGAAGAGAAACCCACTACCTATAGTCTTCTGAATTTTGTAGGGCTCTAAGGAGTCTTCATAACACTTTCAGATAATGGATATAAAGGTTATTAGAAGATTAACCAACTTAAATTGAATTTAAGTTTATTAAAATCACTTAAGAGCAAAACAATTTTACTCATAACGTTTATGAGAAAACTTCTGTTTCTAAATTCATTACATCCTTCATAGCTGACTGAAATGAAAACGGCATATATACATCAAGAACATAGTAACTAAAAGCTGTAAATATATTGTAGTTTTATTAAGTACCAAATTTACTGATTTGTTTCCAGTCTTAGAAAAACTAATTGGTAAGATGTATTTAAAAATATGTTTAAGGAGGGAAGACTGCCAGACTCCTTCTATGAGGCCAGCATCACCCTGATCCCCAAACCAGATAAAGACCCTACAAAGAAAGAAAACTACAGGCCAATTTCGCTGATGAACATAGATGCTAAAATCCTCAACAAAATATTGGCAAACCGCATCCAGCAATACATTCAAAAGATTATCCATCACGATCAAGTGGGATTCATCCCAGGCATGCAGGGATGGTTCAATATACGCAAATCAGTAAACGTGATACACCACATAAATCAAAGAAAAGACAAAAACCACATGATCATCTCGATAGATGCAGAAAAAGCATTTGACAAGGTACAGCACCCATTTATGATCAAAACACTCAGCAAAATGGGAATCAATGGGGCATTCCTCAACGTAATAAAGGCCATATATGAAAAACCTACAGCCAATATCATACTCAACGGGCAAAAACTGAAAGCTTTCCCACTAAGATCGGGAACACGCCAAGGATGTCCGCTCTCACCGCTTCTTTTCAACATCGTATTGGAAGTCCTAGCCACAGCGGTCAGACAAGAGAAAGAGATAAAAGGCATCCAAATAGGAAAGGAGGAAGTAAAACTATCATTGTTTGCAGATGACATGATAGTGTACATAGAGAACCCTGTAGACTCTACCAAAAAACTCCTCAACCTAATAAGTGAATTTGGCAAAACAGCAGGATACAAAGTCAACATTCAGAAATCAAAGGCGTTTTTGTACACCAGCAATGCAATAGAAGAAGAAGAAATCAGAAAAAATATACCATTCAATATAGCACGAAAAAAGATAAAGTACCTAGGGATAAATTTAACCAAAGACACAAAAGACCTGTATGCAGAAAACTATACAACATTGAAAAAAGAAATTAAGGAAGACACAAATAAATGGAAGCATATACCGTGCTCATGGATTGGAAGAATTAATATCCTTAAAATGTCCATACTACCAAAAGCAATTTATAGATTCAACGCAATCCCTATTAAGATACCAATGACGTATTTCACAGAAATAGAACAGACATTTCAAAAATTTATATGGAACCATAAACGACCTCGAATAGCTGCAGCAATTTTGAGAAAGAAACACAAAGTAGGAGGGATCACAATACCGGACATCAAACTCTACTACAAAGCCACTATACTCAAAACAATCTGGTACTGGCACAAGAACAGACCCATAGACCAGTGGAACAGAATAGAAAGCCCAGAAATAAGCCCAGGTCTCTATGGACATCTAATATTTGACAAAGGGGGCAGAAGCATAAAATGGAGTAATAACAGCCTCTTCAACAAATGGTGTTGGGAGAGCTGGATGGCTACATGCAAAAAATTGAAATTGGATCATCAGCTGACACCATACACAAAAATAAACTCAAGATGGATAAAAGACTTAAATATAAGTCGCAACACCATCAAAGTCCTAGAGGAGAACATTGGCAGGAAACTCTCAGATATCCCACGCAGCAATTTTTTCACTGATATGTCTCCTAAAGCAAGGGACATAAAGGAAAGAATAAACAAGTGGGACCTCATCAAAATAAGAAGCTTCTGCACGGCTAAAGAAAACATCAGCAAAATGAAAAGGGAGCCAACCATTTGGGAAAATATATTTGCTAATGATACATCAGATAGAGGTTTGATCTCCAAGATATACAAAGAACTCACTCGACTTTACTCCAAGAAGACAAACGATCCAATCAAAAAATGGGCAAAGGACCTGGGCAGATGCTTTTCTAAGGAGGAGATACAGAGGGCCCAGAGGCATTTGAAAGGATGCTCTGCATCACTAGCCATTAGAGAAATGCAGATCAAAACCACCATGAGGTACCACCTCACACCGGTCAGAATGGCCATCATAAACAGATCCACAAACAACAGGTGCTGGCGAGGCTGTGGAGAAAAGGGAACTCTAGTCCACTGTTGGTGGGAATGCAGACTGGTGCAGCCACTATGGAAAGCAGTGTGGAATTTCCTCAGAAAGCTGAAAATGGAACTGCCTTTTGATCCAGCGATTCCCCTGCTGGGACTATACCCTGAGAACACCAAAACGCCAATACAAAAGAACCTATGCACCCCAATGTTCATAGCAGCACAATTTACAATAGCCAAGTGTTGGAAGCAACCTAAATGCCCATCAGTAGATGATTGGATCAAAAAAATTATGGTACATACACACAATGGAATACTACGTAGCAGAAAGAAAAAAAGAAGTACTAAACTTCGCAACAGTATGGATGGAACTGGAGAGCATCATGCTAAGCGAAATAAGCCAGGGGGCGAAAGACAAATACCATATGATCTCACCTATAAGCGGAACCTAACCAACAATGCAAAGAAGCAAGGCAAATATGGCCAGCAACACTGAAAGGAAAAGAAATCAACAGAGACAAGAGGGAAGGGGGGGGCAGGGAAAGGGAAGGGAAGGGGAAAGTCAAGGAACATATAGCAAGGACTCATGGACAAAACCAAAGGGGAAGAGCTGAGGGAGGGGAGGGGGGAGGGGGCAAGGGAAAGGGGGGGGGGAAGGCAGAGACAAATGTATTTAAAAAGTAAATAAATTAATAAAAAAAAAATATATAAAAAAAAAATAAAATGTAAAGTCAAAGTTTCAAAAAAAAAAAAAAAAAAAGGCCTCCTGACATGAGCTGTGGCCTCTATTAGAGGAATACAACCTGTAACAGGGAGCTAGTGGAATCAATAGCCCAACCTTTCTCTCCACCTCTCTTCCAATATGCTGGGGCTTACATTGGCCCAACCTAATCAAGCACCAAAGAGCTGGGGGGCAATGTTGGCAGCCCTTTGAAATTAGTCCCTGAGGCACAGAGTGAGGTGGAGGGTACATCTAAAGGGCAAATTGAGAATATCAGCATGATAGGAAAGGGGAAAGACAAATCAAGAGAAATTAATTATAAATAAGAATAACAACAAAAAGTAGATGCTAGAAATTAAATCCAAATAGGTTAGTCATCATAAAAATAGATGAAAGGGAGTCTCAGTTTGCAAAAGTAAAAAGACAAACTACCACAATGTCCTTTAAAGAAGTCATAATCTCAAGCATAAAGAGATTGATAGGTAGAAAATAAATAGAAAAAGATATACCATATAAACACTAACTGAAGGAAGGTTTCTCTAGCAATATTAATATCAAACATAATAGAACTTAAGGTGGAAAGATTCAATGTAAATGAAGAAACCAACACACCAAAAAAATATAAAATCATAAAAAAAAATAAATAAATAAAAAATAAAAAAATAAAAAAATAAAAATAAAAATATGTTTAAAATTGTTTTAACTTTACATATACTTGGATTTCTTTTAAGATTAATTACATAAGATTATACTAACTGAATAGAAATTGGATAATTATGTGGATGCATAGATCAAAAACAAAATTGTGATTAGATTTTAGAAATCTTTTTTGGCCTTCTATATGTTTCTATTTCCTCAATTTTAATCTCATACATTAAATGTAGTGCATATAAAAGTGGAATCAAATGGATCTTATATGCATGACATGTTATAACAATTCCTATACATATCTCAAAAATACATATTAAAGCAAGATGTTTTTTATTTCTGGTTTTTATGTTCAGTGTATTATTAGAATGATCAAAGGGACTGAGACTACAAGGCTCTGAGGGTTTAAAAGCCTGCATGCTCTTTGAGAATTCTCAATCCTGCAAGCTGCTCTAAACCTTTCCAAATGTCACTTTCTATTGAACCAAAAAGTACTCTTGAACAGACCAGAATCACAATGAAGCCACAATTAATATGTAGAAAGGACAGCTTACTTCCTATGTAATAAGAATCTGAATTAACATCCTTCTCTAGCTTTTGGAAATTTGACAACCAATATCTAGCATACTAGTGGCCACAAGAGGGATTAGTCGAAGCAATAAGACAGTTATGTGTTACATTGCTAATGAAGTCATATGATCTTCATAGCAAATTTGCCCATATTTCATTCACATCAATATTTTTATCAATTAAAATTTCTTGTGTCTGCATAAGCTAGGAGACAGGAAAACTGGATCATGATATAAAATATAGAAACCCATTTGGAGCATCAAACAAAAAATTTTTTTAGCTTTCTTAAAATATGCTACTCTTAAAAAATTTTTTTTTAAAAGTTCGTTATACAGCTGAGAAAATATAGGCAGAAATTGCTTGGATGCAAACCAATGGAAGAGGTGGGAGTTTTGATTGCAAATTCTCTGTTAAACTACAGGATTCATAAAGATGTTAAGTGAGAATTTCACCAACACAGTATAATAACTTTTTCCTACACTATGTGTAAACTATAAGGAAACTTAAAATTTTTAATTCCTCATATGTAAATACATTAATTGTCAAACTTTTTATCAGATTATCTCAAAGGCATTCATAATGTAAAACTCAGAAAAAAGACTTCATATTAGGTCCCCTTATGAAGAAATGAATGTACACACAAAGCATGCAGAGGCAGGTGAACAAGCAGAATTTCTCAAAACCCGTGGTCATGCAGAACAGCAGCTGTATCCATAAAAATGGCTTGCAAAGCAAAATGTTGAATCACAAAAACCAGGCATTATCTTGTACACTTACCCAAAATATACGACAAACCTTTCAGTTTCTACTCTGTCAACACACAAAGAAGCGTGGGAAGGTGGGAAGGGAAAAGGGAGACAGACATCATTTGCCAAAATCTCACTAATATTGCTAGAAACTTAGAATGGCAAGGTAAAAATAAAGCTAAAGAAAGCCTTTCTTCTTTTTCCCCTGTGAGTTAGTAATGTGCACTTTATGGGAACCCTGCACACTGGATTCTTTGCTATTGACAAATGCTAGCAAGGGGTTCAGCAGTTCCCACTTAGGGAAGATGACCCCATGGCCAGCCAGCATGCAAGCCGCATTGAGGACATTCCTTCCCAGGCCTGCACCGCGGCGCTGGGGCCTGGCAAGCGCTGTGCATGCAGCAGCTGAGCAAATTTCATTCAGCCCAGCTTATAATTGCTTAGCAGCTTTAATTAGGTTTAAAAAAAAATTAAAAACCTCCATTCTCAGATCTAAAGCCAGTTGTGCTTGGAAAAAATTAAAACTCCATAAGCAAAGAAAAATATACCTCTCATCATTTACAAGAAGCCATCTCATTATATCATTTACTATGACAAATATTACTTAAACATAATTTTGTTTCAGGAAATCTAAACATTTTTCCAAATCCCCAATGTAGTACACTTTCAAATAGCATTGAAAAACACATCAAAATATAGAAACCTATTGCTTCACTTTTAAAGTCAAATGACACTATAAACAAGCATATATACCAAAAATTTTTTTATTTGGTATAATAAAATTGGTCATTGATTTGAGGAAAATTAAAAATATTTTTAACTAGTATGATATTAAAAACATTATAAATTGTTCAATACCAGGAAAACTTTTATCTATATTTAGTTGAAATACAGAAAATTTGCATTTGAATTTCACATTAAAACTGTAGACTGTAAATACAATAGTACTGATTTTTTGTTGCAACATTATAACTTACTACACTCACATAGCATTCATTGATTCTTTTATTTTAGTCTTTTTAAAAATTTGCAAAACTGAGATGGAAGTTTTGGTAAACTATATTATTTCAAGTCACATTTTATTCTCACATTTATTTAACTAGATAGAAATGTCTTGAACACTCAAATGTAATTAGCTCATTCTTGTTCATGCACAATTGAGATAATACAAGTATGCATTAGTTACTATTTGAATTAAAACATTTTAGTATAAATTTGAACTAACATCTTTTATTTCAAAGAGAAAAGCCAATGATTTCTGAAATTCTCTACCCTAGTATTTGTACTTCGTTGTGAACTGTTTTTTACCCATAGAAAAGGAAGAGAAAAAAACATAAAATTTTTATTTAATTAATTCAAAGATTTACATGATAAGGTTAAAATGACTGTTTTGAAAGAATATGAAGAATAGTCACTATGAACTTGCAGAGGTAAAATTTCAATCATTCTTCAAACAGTTATTTCACAACAGAAACTCTCAGCTGAAATCACAAGTTTCTGTGGATTGCTACATCTTTGATTTTTAATTGCTGTTCATTTTTCTTTAGCTTTTTTTTAAGATTGTCCATTGCTTTAGTCAGTACTCAAACCTAGCTTAAAGAAAAAAAGCACATAAGTGAAGAAATGATGACTTACAGTTTACATTTCATTATATTTCACTGACTTCTTTTATAAGAAATACCTTTCCTTACAATTTAATGTAAAATGTATGTTAAAACCATAAGTTATTTGGACAGTGTGTGTATTTTGTATCTATTCTGCTTTTTTGTTTTGTCCTTGTTTTGTTTTACTTTTTGAAAGTAAGCATAATATGGTTGTGAAAGCAAACCAGATGAACAGCAGACATTCAATAAACTTGTTCCCTATATTCTGTATTTTCCTTTCTCATAAAAAAAACAAAATACTACTCATCAGGTTTATGAAATATGTTTCCACAAAACACCTTCAAAGAAAAACCTTAAGAGGCTGATAGTAAAGTATAGAGAGGAACAGGGGTCACATAAAGTAATTACTATTTTAATCCTGATTAATATAGTACAAAATAATGCCTATTAAATTTATCTGTAAATTTTACTCTTTAAAAATATAAATTTTTCAAAACCCTCAAGTCACATTAACTTTAATATGTTAACAACTTTAATATAAAGAGAACTATAGTAAATAAACTTCATTTTGATTTTTTCATTAACATCAATTAAAGTTATTTTTTTTCCTTTTGAAAGGCATTCTGAATTATTGAAAAATATCTCTATGATGACTGTGATCTTTTCTTAACATAAACTACTCACAGAGAAATGTTAAGTGGATACTTACAGTAAGGAAAAATAACCCTTAAATTTGTATTATTTTTGATTCTCTGGAATGTAAGTATTATTTAATGTTTAAATTCCATGAAAAATATAGAATTTCATTATATGAAGATTAAGTTTCCTTAACTCACTCAAAAGAGCTCTAATCCTCTCCCCTGTTGAAAATGAAGGCAACAGAGCTGTTTGTTTAACCTAACATTTTAGATTTGTTGCTGCCTATTTTTTAATATAACAACATATTAGCTGTGCTTAAGATTTCTCTTAAACTTTCTATAAATTCTCTACGAAATCGTTCCTCAAGATGAATAGCAGGGTAAAAGTTCACAATGTCAAAACATTTACGTTCTAACCAGAAGCCACCAACAAACAATGGAACGGTCAGAGATCTGGCATAACATTATCTCTTAGGGTTTTTTTTACTTTATATGGAGTAAAGAATTAAAACAAAAAAACAAAATTACCTCTGAGAATTCAAAAATATAAACATTATTTTACCTAAATGCGTTATTACCTGTCTAGGGAAAGTGTTACCGTCTCATTCATTTCCGGTATGTCATCAGCTTTGACAGTAATGTTGATTGTTGTGTCACTTTGCCCAGATAAAAATACCACAGAGCCATTAAAGGGACCTATATCATCCAGGGTCACTGCTTTTGAATTAAAGCCAGAGGGCTTCAAACTCCAATAGACAGTAGCCTGGCCATCAGTCCCATCCCGATGTAAGGGTATGTATACCTTATAAAAACAAAACAAAACAATTTCTTATATCGTCACAAATTATATAAGCTTTTCACTGACTGCGTTCACGTTATTATGTAAATACATGTATTCTGCATAGAAAAGTGAACCATTAAATGACATTAAAAACGTGCACAAACGTTTTCTTTATGCTTGAAAATAATTTGATAGAATTATGTTAGTTTTTGTTAATCAAATTATTAACAAAATTGCCCCTACCAAAAAAAAATATGCCTAACTAGGGATGACTTAACAAAAAGACAAATATCTTAAAAGACAGAGTGATGAAAAACATGGAACAATTTGGTTGAAGAGTAAATTTCCATCCGAGGTTCTCTTAAAAAAAAAAAAAAAGGAACCAATGCAATGTCACAATATAAACAAAAATAAATCTTTGTGATTACAATGAGAAAGTTATATGTCATGTAAAATGCATCCTAAAGGGACAGGAAGCAATATAGGAAAATAACAACATAAGTAACAATAAGAAATGTTTCTAACCAATACAATAAATGCAGTACAAACAAAATCAGATTTTCAAATCATGGCTCTGGATTTCTTGAGCAAGTCACTTAATTTCTCTGACCTCTATTTCCTGTATATGTGAAATGAAGTTAGTAGTTCCATGTTTTGCAAGTTTGTGGTGAGGATTAGAATACCTCTCCACAGTAGGAGCTACATAAAATGGAACTATTATAATAATGCTGAAATGAACTGCACCTGGCAGTTTTATTTAAGTATGCATTAAATATGTATAATAAAAGGACATTGTAGGTCATGAAGAAGTTTTTAAATGAATACTTAATTGTAGATACACTATTCCTTTTAAACTCTTAAATAAGATACCCTCTTTGCTTTTTGCCCTTCAACACAGCCCATCTTGGGGGAAAAGAAAAAAAAAAAGGAAGACATTTTCTTCACTAACAATTCTGCTATTTCGGCTAGCAGTGTGTCAGGGCGGGGAGACTAGAGGGCAAAGATTCTTAGGAAAAACAGGAAATGTAACGGAGGGCTCACCCTTAAATCACCAGAGGGAGTGGGCATGGCCCAAGCTGTAGATGGGACAAAGAGAACAAAGGGAAACTCGCACTACTTCTGCTGTTTCCCAGGCGGGGAGGAATGAAAGCTCTTGGAGCCCAAAACTTTCCCCAAAAGCTAATTTCCCTCAAGAGAAAAATATAAAATGGTAAATTCACAGCTTTATAAGAGAAATGAGTAAAAACCATGCACATGAAGAGCAAGCTAAATCCTTTTTAATTGTTTTATTTTTACTTTTTTTAGAAGATATAAAAACATCAAAGCCATCTTGAAAATGGGAGCTTCTCTGCTAATATACAGAATCAAATACATAAACAAAAAAAATTATGGTCACCATATTTTGACACGAAGCTTTGATATCATAAATAACTTTCCTCAATCTTGATCTGAACCTTAAACCAATGTAAATCATTCAAAAATGTTGAGAGACTTGGATAGGGTCTTAGAGACAGACTATGCTTCAGGGGATGGTAGGACTGAAGGTCCTAGGTAGATGGTGAGAAAATTCAACCAGGGTAGGGGGCTCCGGGAGGGTGCTATATATGTTAACATGTCATTATGTCAGGGTGGGGGGTGTATGCAATAATTTCCCCACATACACGCATAGTACAGAATGCATAAGATTAGGCATTCCACAACCTTATCACCATCACGTCCACTACCAAGCATAGTATCCCTGTCCTGCCCAAGGCAGGCATGAGCAGCTCTCAGAAATGGAACAGGTCAAAGGTACCCGTGGTATATGTGACTTGCCCCCCACCAAAAATTATGTTTTGGCCATCACTCTGTCAAATGTCATAGCATTATCCAAAGGCAGCCAGATCAAAATATACTACTTTTGCTGTAAGCAAATAAAATGCTAATTTTATCTTACGGCAAAAAGATGACGGCAAATCACACATTCATCAGTTATTTACTTCAAATTACATATTGAAGGCTGGCTGTAAATGGTGAAGCTTCTCACTGTTATCTCTATACTAACCCTATAAAAATAATTAGTGTCTGTACATTATCTCAAACTCATTAGGCCCCACTGATAAAAGAAAGCCTACTTACCACTTCAGCAACAGAATCTTCTGGTTCATGCAAAATGATTGGAAGATTGCTAATAAAGCCAATTTCTCCATTTGCAATCTCTGGAGTAACCACTAAAGAAATATTTCGGATTTTCCCAAATCTAGGACTGATAGGTGGGATTGGAGGATTTATGTTCACCAACTCCACTGTTTCCAACTATGATAAACAAACAAAACAAAAATTGAAAGAATAGAAATATGAAAACAAAAAAGTCTTAATTGCATAGGGCAACAAAGTAAACATGGAAAAGGGGCACCAATCAATAACTTAGCAACTTCATTTTCTTCCTTGTTCATTCTCCATCCCGTTTCAATCTCCTGCACTGGTTTCTTGAGCCCCTTCTGCCCCTCAATTATTATTATTTCCTAGGGTTCTGTCTAAGCCCTTTGTCTTATCATCGACACCCTCTCCCTAATAGTCTGGATAGCTCCTTTAAATCTGAAAAGCTTTATAAGCAACTGCCATTAGATATGGCATAAATGTCACACAGAAACTCTGCAAATTGTCCAAAATCGAAATGACTATCTCTGCATCATGTCTCCTCACCACAACCATCACCAGTACTGCGATCTGCTTTTCCTCCTTGTTACCTGCACCCAACTACCCTGACCTTAACGTCAAATATCAGGGAGTTGTCCACCTCTCTTTCCTCTCTTCCACTGGTCCACACCTCTAATCCATCACCCAAACCCCTCTTTTAGCAAAGAATATTCACTCTCAGATGAACATTCAAATTCCAAATGTGACTTAACATGCCCTTATATTTAAAGAAATGCAACACATGTGTAACATGTAGTGTCCCTATAATTAATGAGCATGACCACCAGAGTAACTTTTATGGTGTTCTCCTCACCCAGAATGGCCTCCCTTCCTCATTTCACAAGTTCAAAGTGTAACCACTCTGAGAGAACTACATTTCCCCCTCTCTTATGAAGATTTCCTTGGATTCTCTAGCCTGTTCTACTCTTCTTCTTTCTGAACTTCTATTGCTACTCTCACTAAACTCAGACTTAATTATAAATTTCACATATTGCTTGCTTATCATTATTATGTGTATTCCAGACTCTTACTTCCCAACAGGACTATAGAGTCCTTGTGGGTCTATGCCCTTCTCAGCATTTTCCCAGTATATGACAGAGACCCAACATGCAATAGCTGCACAATAAATATTTGCTGATTCACCTCTCCTGCACAAACTGAGCTCTATGAGAATCCTGATATATCACACACTTTCGACATCTTAATATTCTAACATTTCAAAATTCAATTTATCAATATTTGAGTGTAGAAATAATCATTACAGAATTGCAAAAAGCATGGAGATTTTAAGTTAAAAATTTTGAACTTAATGAAACATTTACAGATCTCCCACTCTAGAGTTCTCTGTTAAGCTTTGTAATGTTGAGATGACTGATTTAAGTTGGTTTTCCAACTTAAACTGGACTAAACTGGTACTGATCCCACACATACTCTCACAATTTTTGATGAACAATATATATTTTAAAAGGGCAAAAATACATGCTTTTCTGAAGTGTCACATACTTTGCTTTGAAAAATCATATAAAGGAAGTTATAAAGGGATTGAGCAAAAAGGAATAAGGACTCATGGACATGGACAACAGTGTGGTGATTGCTGGAGGTAGGGGAAAACAGTAAAGGAAAAAAATACAATAAAGATTAGATTAAAATTTTAAGAAATAAATTAAATAAAGATATTAAAAGTTTCATATTTGGTAAACATTTATTTGAGTCCAAGGGGAAAAAAAAATTAAACTGACAAATTTTGTCAAATATTGGTATACAGTCAAGTAAAATGAAATGTGATTCTTTAGTATCTTGAGTTTACTTTATAGATAAAATGTAAAGATCAATAATTAAAAACATGTAAGTATAAATGTCATTCTTCTAGAAAAAAGGAATACATATATATACACACCCATATACATATATATTTACCTTTTAAAATAGCACAAAGAATAAACAAATAAAATATGTATATTTGGCATATAAACATAAGGTAGGAATTGTTTGGAGGCAAAAAATTTTTTATAAAATACACTGGTCATGTGTAAGCCCATGTTGTGAATAAACATTCTCATTCCCATGTATTCACAAAGCACTAAACTGATAACACTGTTTAAAACACCATGGGGAAAGAACTCAATATAATTTTATTTCAAAACTTTCTTTGAAAAAAGAAAATAAGTCATAGCTTACATACATTTATCAAAAGCTACAGAATTAATTCTAAATATCATGTTTTGAAAAATATAGGGTGGGAGAAAATAGGTTGACAGCTGTGAGTATGTGAACACAGTATTCATTCTTCTACTATTATTTATTAATTATTGTATTATTCTCTATATGAGCAACTGTAAACCTACTTCCCCCCCCCACCCTGCATAAAGAAAGGAGGTATAAAAGGCTATACAAAGTGAACTGGTCAAAAAGAAAATGCAAATTTTACATAGCTTATTTCCTGGTCTCTAAGCCTTTTTGTCTGGGTTCCTTAAGCATCTGCTAAATCAAACAGCTCCATTCATAAAGAGTCGTTCTTTGCTTTCAGACAGTTTGCAACTGGGACAGCACATTAGTAACCCCATGCTTGCCAAAAGTTGTCTCTCAGACGGATGTATTTAGCTGAGCGGGTTACTGAAGAATGAGGAGCTCCTGTCTCGGATTCTCCTTTCTTCAGTTTCATTCAACTTTCCATGCAGAGTCCAATGCCTCCTATTCTTGAATTGCTCATCCATTATGTACTACATCAACTCCACAACCTTCTAATTCCAACCTGCCTTCCAGAGCCTACAGCTTGTGTTGAACCTCAAGAAATTGTGTCAGTGACTAATAACGCCTTTTTTCCCCTACAGCGTTAAATTAACTGTCCGCACAGTAAGACCTTTGTATTTTTTTTACTGAATATACACATAGATAAAGAATTCAATTTGGAAGTAGTGATGCAAACAGATTTCTAACCCGGGATCACCATAAATTCAGAAGTTACATCCTTCTTCAAGTGTTAGCTTACTTTTCAAGTGTCATCAAAACTAAATTCTGCCATGTTCATGTAGAATATTGAAACAAAATAGCTAGGATAATACCTGACCCATAGAAGGTTCTTAATAAGGTTTTGTTTACATAAGGATTCTCTGCAGTTCCTTTGATAGAGATATTAAATATTTTTAAAAGACTAAAAGTTTTAATATAAAAGTTACCAATATTGTCACCCACAGTAAAAAGTGGTAGAGGCAGCATAAGAAATCAGAAAGCTAAAATGGAAAAGTTTCCTAAAATCAAAATCAGCATTTCTGCATTATCAGTTTTCAAGCACGTGTCCCACCACTGAAGCTACTGCAGGAATGCCAAGATACCCTGGCTTCCATGAGAGCAAAAGCAACCATGGAAAACCTGTGCTTCATTTCACTTATTTTAATAAGTTGGTTCTCATATGAGCTGTGATCCATGCAAAACTGGAAAGAGACAGAAAGGAGAATTGAATACTGAAATAATAGAGACACAGAAACCTTAAACACATGCTATGGATTGAACGCTTATGTCTCCCAGAATTCATATATTGAGACCAGAAACCCCAGTAGTGATGCTACTCACGGAAGGGACCTTGGAAAGTAGAGGCCTCAGGATGAAATTAGTGCCCTTATAAGAAGAGACACCAAAGAGCTTGCTTCCTCTCTCTCCACTATACGAGGACAGAGCGAGAAAACATCAGCTTGCACACGGAAAGAGGGCGCTCACCAGAACCCCACGATGCTGACACCCTGACCTCAGCCTTCCCAGACTCCAGGACTGTGAGAAATAAATGCCTGTTGTTTAAGCCTGCCAGTCTATGGTATTCTTTGCAGCAGTCCCAACGGACCGAAACAATGTATGTTAATGAGAATGCTCTGAATCCAGAGATCACAGCAGAGAAGGCAAAAGGGAGCTCTGACACCAAAAATAAAAACAAAAAACAAAAAGCTCCATTAAATTCCTAAATTCCACTTGACAAGTTATCTCCCAAAGGTTCTCAAAAACTCGTAAGTCTGGAAATGCCAGCCTAAGGAAAAACTGGTGAAATGAGTATGTAGTTCCATACATTAACAAAACCAACTTTAAGAAGTCAGTAATGACATGTTTTTGTATAGGGCCAAACTTAAAGCTCTTATTAAAATTTCTAAACATATCTTTAAATGTGCTCTGGTGGCAGTATTCTAGTTGCTTTAACTTCTTGCCAGGGCCATGGGCTTGACCACTTGCTCAGTTCCGGACCCCCCTACCATCCAGCCACCATCTCAGGAGAACGTTCCACAGGCCGCAGGGGAACAAACACGAAGAGAATAACACCGTGTTCTGTTTGCCCATCACTCCAAAACAAGAAACCCAAGGGTCCTCTAAAGAGTGGGTTATCCGCATAGAAAGAAATATACATCATATCACAATTTCCTCATTTTCAGGAGACAATAAAACAACAATAACAACAGTAATAAAGATGAAGAGGAGGATGTCCTGCAGTAACAAAAGCCTTTCAGAACACTGGAAAAAGGTCTCCCGCCAGGTAGGCAGATTACAAAAAGGTACCCCCCACAATTATTTATATATGTGTACACACATGTGCGCACGCACACACACATATACACACACAGGGTCCAGCAAAAGTAACGCCTGCTTGAGTGTGGTTGGCAGCACAACAATATGGGTGTAATAGTTTATAGTTTTAATCTGAACATTTCACCTAAAATGTCATATGGTGCCCTTGAGTGTGATATTGTTATGTTACAGAATTACATGGTTATGATTTTATAATAAAAAGGGGCATTATTTGTGCCAGACCCCATCACCCATTAAGATCCCTTTGCCAGGAATTCTCAAGAAGTGCACAAACAGTACGACATGGAGCTGGGGGCCCAGCTTAAAAAAAAAGACAATAGTCTCAGAACAAAAGGGGCCACCACTCCAAGGAGTGCTCAGCAAGGTGGGACACAGCCCTGTGAAATTTAGAACACCAAGAAGATTTTTAAAAAGAAAGAAAGAAGCTTTCAGAGACAAAGAACAAGTTACCTATGAAGGCAAATTATTTCTTTCCCCTTAAATTTCATATCAGTAACTAAAAAAGACAAAACTTTCCAGGATCATAAGACATTATTTTAACCTAGAAATTTCTATCAAGCCAAGCTATCTGTAAAAAAAATCATTTTCGGTGCTGAAAGATTCAAAAAGTTTACTTTGCACATGCATTTGAGGACAGATATACTACAACAAAACTAAAACACAACTTAAGGAAAAGGTAAGAGATTAAGAAATTTCAAAAGTTAGTCAAAAAAGTCTCTGGTAGCAGGTGTGAAGCGAACATAGAAAGCAATATAATGAACTCAATATTCAAAGTACGTTAGACAGCTGAGAGACCTGATGTGAGGATGATGACGTATAAAAAAGGGACCATTCAAAATCCCAGAGAAAGCAATAAACCATTAAAAAAAGTCTAGGCAAAATTATGAAACAAATTTAAATGTGACATGATTCAAAAAAAAATGATAAAATGAGATTTTATTTCATAGATATCAGTTGGCAAAAAAGCACAGTGACAGGAGATGACGCTCTTTATGAATCATTCATACTATCTGAATCTGTATTACATTTATTTACATTACCAAAATTTGATAGCACCCTTTTATTGTTTCCTAATTTTCAGAATCAACCAAAACCAAACGCGTCAAAAATAAAACCATCCTATCATAAGAGTACAAATGTTTTAAACTTTGACAATAAAAACATTAATAAAAGTTAAATAAAAGAGATAAGATGGAAGAATTATGTTCTGAGATCCTTATTTCTTTTAAGTAGATGAAAATCCAGAGACACTATCTATAGTTAATAGGTAAAAGAAACAGATTTTTTAGTATATCATTTAAAAGTATCTATAGTATACCATTTTTCTCATATTGCTTTTTTATTTCTGGAATGCCTTCCCTGCAAGTATCCATCATGAAAAACATTTATCCTACAAACCCCATTCCTATGTCATATTTTCTCAAATCACTCAAAAGAACAATGGATCTCTCCCCCCCCCCCCCTCTCTCTCTCTCTGTCCTCCCCCATAAACAGTTTGTGACTTCATTATGTTATCCATAATATTCGGACCTACATTTCATGTCTGATGTGTTTTTTTTAATCACCTGATTAAAATTTTAACTTTATAGAACCCTCGTTGTATTTCCTTATATGCCTTAGGAGCAGACACAGTCTTTCTTTGGACTCCCTAAGCAACTTACCATAACCAATGATAGAATCCAAGCTATAAATGAGCAAAATAATGGTTAACTCTCTCACATAGTTAAGTATACCTACAATTTAACCAAAGTTGAAATTATTTTAACCATTAAAATACCTGTACTAGGAAGTGGGCCCCATTTTGAAGGAATGCATCATTTCTTATTGGTAATTTTGAAGTGACTTGGGTCTTTTGTTCTGGAAAAATGAGGCTATTTCTCCTGGATATATTTAAGATGCCATCTTTCGCTCTCAAAGGGTCCACATCTCCAGCAGGAATATAAAACACAGAATAAAACATCCTCACATCTCCTTTAGTTCCTCCTAGTCTTGTAAAACTCAAGGATAAATATCGTTCTCCTGGGCTGCTTTCAATCTTCTGGTTTTCCATAGGAAAAAATGTTATTAGGCCATAAACATCATCACTATCTTGAATGTAGAACAAAAGCTGCAGATAAAGAAATAAAATATTAAAATGCAGAATTCTCACATCTGAGATTACCAAACTGTTTATTTTCTAGTCTTTTTAATATTATATATTATTAACTAAAACTTACCACTTCTTGTATGTCCTACCATAAAAAAATGAGTCAAAAACAGATCTGAAAATCTTTGTAATTTATAGTTTGTAGCATTTTTAAAGAGCGAACTTTTTATTAACAAAAGGACAACCTTGAGCAAGGAAAGCAATCATCATTTTCCGAAACAGTGTTCTTCCCATCACATCGAAGCCACATAAGTGTGACTTGTGTGATCAGATTCTTTGGCTCTTCTACCATGCAGAAATAGTCACTCAAGTAAAGCACAACAAGAGACCTACCTCTGCTGGTTCGCTCACTTCTGCACCTCCTTTTATCGTATGGGGTAGAATCTGAAGTAAGTAAGCTTCGGCCTCTTCTGGAAGATCATCATTAACGACAGTAAGGGGAATGGAGGCTGACATCTGCCCTTGTGCAAAATGCAGTACTCCAGAACTTGGGCTGATATCTGCTGTTACCGGTGAGGGATCACTGCTATTCCGTGTCAATACCCAGTTCACTGAAATATTCCCATGGGTGCCGCCATTTCTAACCACCGTAATATTTTCAAATCTAGAGTTTTTCAAAAGAAATATATAGTCACATAATACATTCTAATTCCCTTAGAAGACCTTTTCTACTATCAAGTTGGCCATCAGACATTGGTAAAAACAGAAACCATGTCATGAAGAATGATTGTTTTTAATATGAAGGATATGATATGTTGATATGTCCTAAGAAACTACCATAATAGGAACTCACTTGTATATTTATATTACTTCCAAAGTAGGAAAGAAAACAGGGAAACCGTGGTACAGGAAATGACACATACTCTCAAGAGTTCAGCATTGTGCCCAATACCACAAACATTAAATCTTGGAAAAATACAATAAAATACTCATAGAAACAGGTTTAAAATAAATCATACCTTGATGTTGTATCTTCATCAATTATAACTGTCCTTTCAAACAAGGCACTGTTGAATGACAGGACTCCATAAGGTTTGTCATTTGGCTTAATGGTGACTTGTACAACAGAAGGGCTTAATAGCACAGCATCTCCCTTTAAGGTATCTTTTAGTAAGACAACATGAAATGATTCAGCAATCTCTGGTATGGCATCATCAACTATTTGAAATTTCAGATGTGATTCATAAATAAAAGGTGGAAAAATAATAGTTGTGTTTGACTGAAGATCAATGAAGTCTAAATTTTGCTGGGCATGTGCTGTTGAATTCCCAGTTACAACAACGTAACTGATTGAAACTTCATATTCATCAGATCCAATCAGATTTCCACTGTCATCTTTTCCACGAACCACTGGAATTATGAGTATGTGGTCTTCCTCAGGCACCAAATAAAGACTCTGTAGGAACCTCACAGGGCTATCATTTTTCTTAATGATGATCTCAACTGAGCTCCTAGAAGTGTTAATCTCAGCTCCTCCTTCTACACTTTTCAGTTGAATTAAAAATATCTCATCATTTTCTGGTATCTGTCAAAGAAATATAAGCAGTCGTAAAACATCAACAGCTAACATACCTGCAAAGAAATCAAAGTGCAAAAAGCCACTGTTATATGTTTCAATACAATTACATTAAAATAAAAATCTTTACCTAGAGAGAGGCTTGTTTAGTGTCCATTTACTGGAATATTTTCTAAATGTAAATAATATATTTTAGATAGGGAAGGAAAAGTTCATAAGGCAATGGGATGAACAGATAATCAAGTATAGGTATAATGTCTTTCAACGTCAATCACTCTTTAGATAACTCTAAAAATTTGACAATAAAATGAACATATATTCTTACTAGTTTTATCAGCTTGGTAAGGTCAGAAGTATCATTCAAGGTCAAAAAATCTGGAAAACTACATTAAACATCATATACAAATTATTAGCTTTCAACCATGTGATTTATTGTTTTTTTCTAAACCATGTCTAATTTAGGAGTTAAACATATGATATCAAGCATATGCTTTCCAAAATACACATCATGTGTCTCTGGAGAACAAGCTATAAGAGTCACTATTAGGGGGAATGTTGACATTATTTAAAAAAAAAAACATACACACACACACACACACACACACACGAGAAACTGCACTGAAATCCTAGAAATAAATCTTCCACTGTGCTATTTGAGCTTTCCTTCACTATAAATTCTATTTTATAAATAAGTGAAAAAAATACATCTTTTTAACTTCAATCAACAGCAGTCAATGTAAGAAGTAAAGTTATTTATCTCAAAAAATAAAATATTATTTGATTAATGATCTTTTTCCCCCCAACTTTATTGAGGGATAATTGACAGATAATTATTAAAGTATACAAAATGTGATGATTTGATATACATACATACTGTCAAATGATTACCAAGATCAAGATAACTGACACTTGTGTGTGTGTGTGTGTGTGTGTGTGTGTGTGTGTGTGTTTAGAATATTTAGGATCTACTCTGAGCAACTTTCCACTACACACTACCATAATTATTGACTGTCATCACCATGTTGTACATTAGATCCTTAACAGATCTTTTAAGTTTATAATTAAAATGTATAATTAATCATTGCCCCAAATTATAACCTGTTCACTGTTCCAGGACCTAAAAACAAAACGTTTTCGCTAGCTTCCAGAACCAGACAAACTAGTTACCACTGCTTCCTCGCATTTCATTTGTTTCAGGAGAAACACTCTTTTCTAATAAAGTCGTCTAACTTTTTTTTCATTCTCTTGGAATTTGTTGTGATTGGATTTAATTTTTTTTGGTAGAAAAGTAGAGAAATGATTATAAATTTCCAGCTATTCCTCTTACCTCTGGCAACACTAAGATTCTAATTACTAAAAGTCATGTTTTCTCTTCTTTACCTCATGAGGAATACACTTGAACATTATTGCTCAAATTTATTCTTTCCTTAGCAGTTATATATCTCAATCTTTGGTAGCCTCAATGTGAAATGTAAAAATAACTGAAGCCTTTCTATGCATGTGAACATTTAAAATACTCAAACAAAAGAATATCAATCATAGTAAAAATTTCTTTGCTTTTCTAGCAAAATATTTATGCTGGGTAAATAGTACTATAACCTGCTGAAAACTGAAATCACTAACAAAAATCAATCATTGGCTTTTACAAATCACTTAGATTTTTGTACTACATGTGGTTGACAATTAGGTTCAGGTGCATCAGCTTTTAGATCTACAACTTAATATGAATATGTGAATTAATAAGGCAAATATTAACTATATATTATAAAATAGCTATTTATAGCTAAAGTATGACTGGCCAAATATACTAACTTTACTATATTTACTACATAGGACTGTGTTCTTGAATAATGTCAATACTGAATACAACCTAATCCTTAACATAATGTTCTCTAACATGTCTATAATACAGACAGTCCTTGACCCATTTAAGATTTCACATTATCCCACCTCATCATCAAGTACTGTCAAGTTATAAACTATTGATGCTCTGCCAGGGGGAAAGGTGATATTTCCTTTAACTGGGCTCAAATCTTCTTCAGGTGGATTTGGGCCACCCTCTACCTGCAAAGAAATACACATAAAACATTTCACAAGCATAAAAAAGCATTAATGTGATGTCAGCTGACAAAAATCTAGAGTGTACTTAAAAATGTTTTGCAAGAGCACTCGCCAGACTGTTCATTTGGTGGGAGCATCATCCCATGCACCAACTTCCCGGTCAGGGCACATCCTAGATTGTGGGTTTGACCCCCAGCTGGGGCGTATGCTTCTCTCTCACAGATGAAGCAACAGATGCTTCTCTCTCACATCAATGTCTGTGTCTCTCTGTTTCTGTCTCTCTCTCTCTCTCTTTCTACCCCACTTCCTCTCTAAAAACCAGTTAACATATCCTTAGGTGACGATTAAAAAAAATGTTTTGCAAGATACTAACCTATATGCAAGTCTGCCCTTCCAACTAACAGTCAAGGCCTGTAATTACAGATCTTGACTATAGTCACATTAAACTACATGGTTTCTATAAGCTTTTCCCTTTTATCTAAACCATTGTATTAAACCTGAGGGAAAAAACCTATATATTTTTCTTGAGAAGAAAGTATTCAAAATTAGTAAATTTTCTTAAGTAATAGGATCAAAGAGCAGCCCCACCACAGACTGTGCAAGGTATATAACCACTTTATGCAGCATTGTCCTATCTTTAAAGAATAGACTGAAATAACAGGCTACATGTGAGGACTTAAAAAACCCAGTTTTTGAAAACTATTAAGTACTCTGTACCTGACCTCTTTTGGGTACTAAGAACACAGCAGTGAACAAGGCAAACTCTCTGCCCACCAGGACCTTACATTTAATGAAAATGAACAAATAATAAATAAATCAATGTGTCAGGTGAAGATAAGTATTATGGAATAAAAATTTTAAAAAGATGAGGGAACACAGTGCTGGAAGAGTTTCTATTTATATGCAGTAAAACAGCATCAGAGTAAAGTACTAGAAGAGTATAAGAAAATACTAAATTCTGTAAGTATCTCAGCAAAACAAGAGACTTACAATCCAATAAAATAACTTCAGACATCCACAGCAAAATTGAAAACACTATAATGATGATGCCTTATCCTTTCTGCATTCAAGTTTTTACAATTTTCCCATATTTGTCATTGGAAACATGTTCAAAAGTGTATTTATTACCTAAATGCATATTCCTAAACACATAAAATATTGCTTAAGGCTTCCTGTGTTGAACTTGAAAGACTACCAACTATTTAATTAGTGTTTACTGTATCTTTCATGCATTATTGCCTTATGGCACTTTATTTTCTTATGTACTTAACATAACCACCATGTGATATAGGACCCCACGAGCACAAGTAAGCTCTTTTATGCTTCAGTAGAACTATGTTATGTAAATCCAATTATCCATTTTAGTCATATTATAATGAATAATTAAGATATAAACTGGTACCAAGACTTTCTAATGTTTTAATGTTTGAAAATAGCATATAATCCTATTTTTGATCTTTTAAAACACAACAGTTAGTTGATGATTTAAATATGTATCTCATAGAACAGCAATATCATGTAGTCACTAAGCAATAAAATGGAATGGTTACAGCTAGCACCCTCACCCACAGCCTATCTTACTCACATCAAATGCTATAATATCTGTGGACCTCCACGATGGAGTGCAGCTGCCTTTAACACCATCCATTAAGAGTATTTTTAAAAATGGGAAAGGGCAGGGGAAAGTGGTGGCAGGAAAATGGAGACAATTGTATTTGAACAACAATAAAAAAATAAAAACAAAAAAATTTTTTAAATGGGAAATGAAAATGGGGGAAGACTACATACTAAATAAGTCTGTATAAGCCTAAGTAACCCATGGGCATTCTAAGAATTTATATCCTTAAAAAGTTTATCATTAGGGTTCTATGAAGTTTTTAGGACTAACATCATTATTATTCTATTTTGTAGTCTATTATTCTGTATCTAAAATGATATGTTGTGTTCCCTGTAAGCATAGTATATTCAAGTAACAAGGAAAACATTTTTATGTTAACCATGAAGTTTATCAGATAATAAAAGTATTTACTTTTATTTCATATTTACTAAGGGCCATATTTCTTAACCTTGATTTTTAAAATTGTAGCTATCTGGCATGATTCTAAAGTGTTACCATTTAAAATAACTTCAGAGTAAACGTACCTCAAAAGTCACAGTGACCATTCCATAGGTACCTTTTTCTCTGATGAGAGTAAGGGGCACAGATTCATTTCTGCCCCTAGGCTCACTCACTGTGATCGAGAAAGGCTATGGGGAAGAACAAAGACAATCAATCAGAGGTAGGAGGTGGTGCAAACTGTTACCTTAGAACTACTACATTTCCACAGACAGACAAATCCACATTTAACTCTGAAGAATGTGGTATTTCCCAGAATTAATTAACTGCAGCTAATAAAAGCACTTAAAAGGTTTTTGTTTTTTTTAAAAATAACATCAATTTTTTTTTTAAGAAACACAGGCAGAACTAGTCAAGCAAAAGATGTAGGTTCTTAGCCTGGTTCTACCATTGATGAGCTGTTCTGCTAAGGAATCTTAAAGGTTATCTTGACCAAAGATAACTCAAACGCTCACAGAAATGAGCTGCGCCTCCAGACCAGGGCAGCTCATTGGAACAGCCACTCGGCCTTGCCCTCCACCACTGTTTCCTCCTCATTGGTCAGCTCGCCACTGAAAAGCAAGGCAATTGCTAATGGCTTTCTCAGGACTGATCACAAGGCCCAAAAGAGCGAGCCAGGACTTCAAATGTTAAAATGTGCTGGCATGGCTGGCTGACGCTCAGCACAGAAGAGGAGGAAGAGGAAGCAGCCAGGTGCACACTAACTAGGGCAGTGGGGCCCATCTCTCCAGGGGACACTGAGACTTAGTGTTTACAGATGGGGACAGAAATGCCTGTCTCAAAGGGTTATGATGAGGCTTCAATGCATAATTCACATCAAGTGCTTATCCTAGTACCTGACACATAATGAAGGTTCAGTAAATGTTGGTAGTTACTATCATCATCATCATCATCATCAGTGTTATCTTCCTCATCAATATGATCATGATCCAGGCTGAGAACCAAAACCAGCCTGTTTAGCAACTACTGTGAGCTCAATAGCTACTTAGTTCAATTTTAATTATGCAGGGCAGCTGCTCAGTCAGAGGCCACAACAGTCATGGACCTGGAACCAAAGCTAGAAACAAAGAGTTTCCCAGAGGCTCTGATGTATAATGTCAAAACTAAAAACGAAAGATTCCTTTAAACAAGTCAGGATTGAGTTTAGAGACAATAAATTGGGAGTGCAGAGGAAAGACAGTAGAGAGGGAAATTAAGCAACTAAGGGAGCCTGCTTCATAATTAACTAAAAATTCCCCAGCATTCAAATAAAAATAATTAATTCATTTAATTTCAGTAAATGACAATATAATGGACATTACAAAATGTCTACTATATTGGCATTATCCATATGGCCTTTTAATAAAGATACTGCATTTATGAAGATCATACTTATTTAGAGCTCACCTTGTTTCAGAGATAATTTAAGAAAATTGTAGCAGCAATCTTAATTGGAAAATAAATAAAAAGCTGGAGAGCATCAGGTCATCTTTTAGCAATATCAGGAAGGTTACTGTAGTCTAAAACTTAGTGGCACACTCTAATTGTATTCAAGATAAATTTTGTTGTACTTTAAGAGCTGGGACCTGTCTTATGTGTTTGCATCTAAAGATAAAACCCCAGAACACAGGACTGGCCAGGGACACAGGAATTTGGTGAAAAGGGAGAAAAAATAAACTAACTGCTGAGCAAAACTGCGGGGGATGACAAGGAGTTTTAACCTTCAGGAAATATTAATTAATGAAAAATCTCACAGTAGGGATTGACCACAGATATATTAAGCACTGTAGTGTCTGCTATTCAATTTTAAATTAACTATAGGTTTTCTTTCAGTGTATGTTTCTCCTCTTGGAGTCACATCAAACTTCCAGACAATGCTTCTTTTAAGTGGCAACTGAAGAAATCTAGCAAAAGGAACTGGGTTGCCACATCTGCTACAGACTGAATGTGTTTGCACTGCCCCGCCCCACCGCCCGCCCCACAGTTCCTATGCTGATACCCTAACCTGTAACATGATGATGGTATTAGGAGGTGGGGCCTTTGGGAGGTTATTACATCATCAGGGCAAAGCCATCATGAATGGGATTAGCGCCCTTATAAAAGAGACTCCAGAAACCTCCACTGCCCTTTCGCCATGTAAGAACACAGCAAAAACACAACTGTCTTCGAACCAGGAAGTGGGATTTCACCAGGCCCTGAATCTGCTGGTGCCTTGATCTTGGACTTCTCGGCCTCCAGAACCATGAAAAATAAACCTCTTTGTTTAAAAGCCACCCAGGCTATGGTATTCTGTTATAACAGATTGAACCAACTAAGACAACATATGAATTAGAGACTACCAAAGGAGGTAACAAATCAATCATATGGAATGATCAACAGAAAGAGATTAGGGTAAGAGATGACCATGATCGTATAGGCCTCATCAATTCCAAGAAATCTCAGAACAAAAGGACAGTCTATAGAATGTGGTATATGGATGGAGTTAGAGCAAATTTTAAGTATTAAAAGAGTTGCCCTGGCCAGGTAGGTCAGTTGGTTAAGAGTATCATCCTAATACAGCAAGGTTGTGGGTTTGATCCCTGGTCAGGGCACATACAAGGACAAACTAATGAATCCACAAATAAATGGAATTACAAATCAATGTTCCTCTCTTTCATTTCCTCTCTCTAAAATCAATTTTTTTAATTTTTTTAAAATAGGCAATGATACTAGTTAACATGGTGACAAATAATCAAAAAATTAAACTATTATCTCACAACCACAAGAGTAATCAAATTGTACCATACCATATTAAATGAAATAATTCCAAATGCATTGTCATTTGATAAAATTGTCACAGTAACAGTCCTTGGCCATCCAAGCTTTACATTTGCTGAAGGTTTCTAAAATAAAAACCCAAAAATAAATTAATAAATTAAAAATTAAAGGGAATAATCATTTTAACAGTTTAAGTAATTAAGAATAGGAATAAAAATACAAGAATACTTTTAATGCACAGATGAAGAAAATACATTTCAACTAAGTCAACATGGTAAAAAAAAAAAAAAAAAAAGTCCCAAAAATTCTTCAAAGAAGTTTGGGAAATCATTAACCACTGGTTATTGAAATATAAGTTATTATAAGTTATTATAATTACTCACTGGCTAATAATACTATGCTAATAATTATTCTAATGTTATTACTAATATAACAGAGAATAAAGTAAGCAGTATAAAATCTAGTCATACATGATTCTTCCATTTTTAATTTTTTGAGGTAACTCCACACTGTTTTCCACAATAGCTATGACAATCTGCATTCCCACCAACAGTGCACAAGGGTTCCCTTTTCTCCACATCTTCACCAACACTTGTTTGTTGATTTACTGATAGCCATTCTGACAGGTGTGAGGTAGTATCTCATTGTGGTTTTAATTTGCATTTCTCTGAGGATTGTGACATTGAGCACCTTTTCATATGTCTTTTGGCTATCTCTATGTCCTCTAAATCCACTTCTTGGAATTTATCTGAAGAAACCCGAAACACTAATTCGAAAGTATATAAAAGTATATAAGCACCCCTATGTTTATCGTAGCATTATCTACAATAGCCAAGATTTGGAAGCAACCCAAGTGTCTACCAGTAAATGAGTTAATAAAACAACTGTGGTACATTTATACAACAGAATACTCCTCAGCCATAAAAAAAAGAAGGGAATCTTAACCTTTGCAACAGCATGGATGGACCTGGAGAGCATTATGCTAAGTGAAATAAGCCAGTCAAAAGAAAAAAGCTACCATATGATTTCATTCACATGTGGAATCTAATGAACACAATGAACTAACAAGCAAAACAGAGACAGACTCACAGATAGAGAGCAGGCCAATAGCTGTGGGGTGAGGGTCTTGGTTGGAGGTGGAAGGATTAGGGGAAAAAAGGAGACAGAGAGAAAACTCATGGACACAGACAACAGTGCGGTGATTTCTAGGGGGGATGTCAGGAGATGGACAGGATAGAGGGGGGATAAATGGTGATGGATGAAGACTCAACTTGGGGTGGTTAACACACGCAGTGTATAGATGACGTGTTACAGAATTGTGCACTTGAAATCTGTGTAATTTTGTTTACACGTGTCATCCCAATAAATTCAATAAAAAAAATGTAATTGTTTTTCTTATATTTTAGAAAATGCTGAAAGTTAAGAATTAGTTATTCCATAAATCATAGAGCTAAATTAAAGATAAAATACTAAAACAGTTTTTCTAAGATATGTGAGAAGAGCTGTCTACAACATTGTCGCATTCAACAGCTGCATACAGGAATATAAAAAAGTGTGCAAAAGCAAAATGACTGTTTCAAGTGTCATTTTCATGAAGATTTAATGAAATTAAATGATACCAACGTAACCATTCAAAAAGAATTCACAATGGACTTCAGAAAAATTAACTAGAGCATTGTTAGCAGTCTTTGCCTCGACCTAATTGATCAATCTATAAAGAACAATTAAACCTTAGGCTATTCAAGCCCTTTTCCCAGGGACACTCTGAATTTATGCTAAGGCCTAGGGACCTCCCACTTCCATGTCTGCTTTTTTTATCCTTCTACTTTGAACTTAGAAGTCATGGTCATTCTTTGTGCATCTGGTAGCAGGGGAAGGATAAAAGAGAAAAGGGCCAAAGGAAAGACAAGGTTTCCTTGAGGGTCTGTCATGGCAATTCCTAAATAGGCTGAACAGATCCAAAAACTAGCTGTAGGATTCTCTAAACAAGATTGTCTGAGGATTGTCTAAACCAGATCATGGAACTTTCAAAGAGGTTTTCAGTTCTAGCTTCTATGAAAACTACAACTGGTCACCTAAACTGGCTTATCTCTAGAGAAACAGGTTTTTAAGCAATGCAAGAGTTTTAAGAGTTTAAGGTTAAGAAGGGAAAAACGATTTACCTGTAATGTTAAGTGAAAAATAAAAGTTTCATCGGGCTCTGGTAAGTCATCGTCACATACTGCTATGTACACTGTCCTATTTGTTTCTCCAGCAGGTATAAAAGCTGCAGCATATGTGTCAAAAAAGTCACCAGTGTCATCTCCATACAGCTATGAAATACAAAATAATAGATAGTTCTTACATAACACAGTGTTAGGACAAGCAAACTTGATGTCAATGGGAGCAATCAACAAGAAAAAACATGAATCATCAAGTGACATTAATGTTTACAGATAAGGTGTACAAAGGCAAATATTTAACAACTAATAAAAATCACCTTCAAAAAACACTACAAAAACATTTGCTTATGCTCTGGAAGGTAAATAAATCACTGCATAGAAAAGTAATAATTATAACGGAAAGTATGCTGTGGGTATCTTTTCTCTGCCTCTTGAATGATCTAAAGAGGATTACAGAAAACGTAACAAGAAAAACTACAGATAAAACTCTCCAAAAGCAGAATTGAAAGTAGCCTGCCAGAATGTATCAAGAAAATTAATTTTTCCCTATCAGTTTCAAAGAAATTACACTTTGCAAAACTTTCACCATGAAATTTATATTCTCCCACAACTCCAGTTAATACCCAAATTCTTTTAGCATTCCAAATTTATTAGTCATTATAAATTTTCCTTAACTTTTTAAGACATCATTATGTAATATCAGCATTGCTGCTAAGATTCTCAAGGGAACAATAATTATAAAATTATAAAGGAGCAACTTCTTGTGCAAATCTAAATGGGATTTCCTCTGTTGAAGAACTCAAAATGAATAATTTAGCTACCAGGAAAAAAACTATGATCTAGTACAAATAAAAATGAAGAACATGTACAGAGAATTTTAGTCAATTTCTAGTTTTGTTTATAATAAGTAGTTTTAAATACATGATCCAAAAGTTTTCAAGGGTGTTGGAAAACTTGTATGCATACCTTATTATAAAAAGCACAATGTGGTACAAAGTATTAAATATCAAGAACCACTAAAAAGGGAAAAAACATAGTAATCCAACCCAAAAAATCATTTAATTATCCAAAATATGCAAAACTCAATGTGTATGTAAACAGTTTCACTAGAGCAACATTTATTAACAGCTCAGATTGAAACCTCATTGAAAAAAAGTTAAGGAATGACTGGAAAATGATGACACCACCACCAAGAAAAGCTGAAAAAATTACAGACCAACCTGAAAAAATAATTAAGATAACAAGAAAAACTATATGTCCAAGAATATCAAGTATAACATATAATCGAACTAAAAATGAACTCAATAAATATATACATACATATATGTAATAAATTAAAAATAAAAACAACTCACAAAAGTACAATATTGGGTTTAATATGTAGTTTGTTCTTCTTTGTCTCTTTTCACAATTCTTCACCAAGTGATCATTTAACCTATTGCTTAAGAACTTATTTTTGTAAATAAAAACTTCAAGTATTTTGGGCCTCAAATACAGTAATATCTTTAGAGGTCTTATGACAGCACTTCCTGGTTAAATATAACACAAAAACGTGCACACTCAATCCAACCAATAATTAAACTGTGTGTAAGACAGATTAAGAGTTTAACAAATTCTACCTAATTTCTATGTAAGTTAACGTACTTAATTTCTCAACAACAAAAAAAAAAGAGCTCTTCAATAAAACTAAGGATTTTTTAATTGTCATTTTTCTACTTTTAAATATTTCAGCTATTTTCTTAAAGTCACCTGACAGTTGACAATTGACAATATAACTAGAATCCAAATAACCCAAATTAAAATTTTTTTTTCTTAGAAATAACTATTGATATTTTTGTTTTGTTTTAAAAAACACATATGAACATTTTAAAATAGTCAGTCTATATCTTTAAAATACTATTACAGCCAAACACACATGCCATCCAGGAGCACTCTACAAACATACATATACATATATATGTGTGTGTGTGTGTATATATATATATATATATATACACACACACATATATAGAATAGTGTACATGCAAATCATTTATCATTATCAAACTACTCATAATCTCACTTAAAAAAATTCTTGTCACTAAAACTAAGAAATTTAATATCCATTTCAGTAAAAATAAAACTACAATCATTTCTTACCGACACAATTGCTGTGACATTTGCTGGTTCTCCTATCCTTTCGATAACAAGACGAATAACTGTTGTACTTGTTTCATTGACTACAAATTCTGTTTGCCCGGCAAACCTTATTTCTGTTTCTCCAAACACAAAAGGGATGAATAAAGCTGAAAGAAGATTTACTAGTAAAGGTGCAGAGGGCATCCCTATAGGAGAAAAGAAAAGATTTTGTTCACAAAACATATCTAATATATTTTCATTAGGCTGTGTTGTCTACAGATATAAACAGAGTGAAGACTTAGATATAAATAAAGCAAATATTAAGTCATTCAATTCATGTGATCACAGATAACTAGAAATCACAAACTCATTTATGGTTCTCTTTTACTATTTATAACTACATTTTGTTTCTTTAGCTTATATATCAAGATAATAGTTATAACTAGACTTAAACTTATTAAATTTATTTTATTAAAAAATTTGAGCGTCCAATTTATTCTAAAAAAATACCCAAGTAGCAACATGGAAACAATTAAATCTCATCTTCCCCTCATATGAAACTAAGATACAAGCAAAAACTTAAAAAATTATCAAATGGATCAGTAATCTTAATGAAACTTATTTATTTGATCATGCACATATGAGAGAACTCTTGAAACTGGTACATAAAACAGTTGAAACTGAAACTCTATAAATAAACTGATTTATTTGTTGTGTCTACTTTTTCCTTAAAATTGTCTTATTTGAAAACTATTTTTAAAATTTTTTCTAGTCATTACAAGGAAATTCTAATCCTTTCAAAGAATAAAAATTTCTAGGGCCTAAATTTCCCCCATTTTACTAGCTAAAATACTAATGCCACTTCTTAGAAAATGTCCATGTTGTTTTAAAAGCTAGCAAATTTGGCAAGTGTTTATCTCCACAACTACTATTGTTTTCTTCTTACTACAATGTGCATGCTTGTGAGTCATCAATATCACTCCTACTTTCAGCACTGTGTGACTCCCGAGCTTTCAAAGGCACAACAGTGCAGTGGCCTCTTGCAAGCATTGCTGTTTTGTAATGTAGATGTACCTCTAAAAATGTGAACCATTTATCTCACGGGTCATTAAGATTCCAATGGATTATGTGATCAGTCACACGAACATAACAAGTTCATGCGTTTTAAAGAAGAGTTGCATTACAAACTCTATGAGCCAAAAATGCTCCCCATTAATCTTTACCTTGGTCAAGAAGTAATAAAATTTTCATGTATGTGATATTGCCACATGGCTATACATTGCTTTATATTTAGGAGCCATGAAATACGTAAGTTCTTGATTTATTTTAGAATTCAAATGTAATTTTCTCAGCCACTTATATTCAAACAATGCAGTCTGAGATTGCTTAATGTCTCATATGCTATGGTAGCAAATTCCACAGACAGGGATGCAGAGTTCAGATGAAGTCCAGGGAAGAGACACAGGCCAACAGGGACAGAGATGCTGGAGGACCAGGGTACCTTTACACCTGTGCCTTCTCTCTAAGAATGCCTGCCGTGGGGCTGAGGGACTTGGAAGAAATAAAGTAGTTCTACCTCCCTAACTGCAAACTCTGCCTTGACTTTTAAGCCAGGCATGTTTATGGAAAAAATGGAAATGAAAAATATGAGAGAGAGAAGAAAAAAGGCAAAATATGGTGAGGCAGGAAACTGGGAGCAGGTCTGGACTGAACCAGAGACAAGTGAAGAAGATCCTTTGTGGAATTCTAGTGCCAGAATGATTTCACACCTCACTTATAACAAATAGCAGGAAAGAAATGAAGCTGGGATGAAAAAGAATACAGAATGGAGGACTGAGGAAGTAGTAAGTAACCCAAGCCTTGAACAGATAAGAAAAGGATCAACTTTGGTCTATTGTGATTTTGAAAGAAAAATCTCAATTCCTTGAACATGAGATGTGACACACCCTTAAGCTTAGAAATAATAAAACACTGAAAAAGTTCTAAGCAAGAAAGAATGAAAGTGAGTTACTTTCATTAATGAATAAATGAATCATGAATGGCTAGGAACATAAGTTCTCAATATTTGTCCTGCATAAGAATCAACTCAGACCTTTCTTAAAATTCTTATTCTCACACACAGAAATTCAGATCCAGTGAGTTAAGGTTAGGGTAGGGCCCAGGAATTGCATTTGACAGGCAGCCTAGTTGATTCTAATGCAACTGAACCTCTACCAGAGTATGAGGAAGGGTGTGAGGAGCTTATCCTGGAGGGAACATACAATAGAGCACATTTGTAGCTTTAATTACTGAATTTTTCAATGCAATACAAAGGCCTATCTGGAAAACATTCAACCACTGTTAATATAATGAAAACGGTTTGTGCAACATCAATGTAACCTGGCACTCAAGGGGAGTGGACTGGAACATGCATATGTGAACAACGATGACTTCACTGTACTAGTTGGTGGGGGTGGTGGATGTCATTGAGTGAGCGTGTGCACTATGTGGCCATCACATTCAAAATTAGTAGAGCAATAAATCTACATCAAATTTTGCACAAAGCTTGAATATTCCCCCATGAAAACTATTCAGATAATTCAGAAGGCCACAGGTATAGGCAACTGGTGACTGTCAGCTTCATCATGACAACACGCCCACTCATACATCATGTCTCTTGAAGAGTATTTTTGAGAAACATCAAATCAGCCAGGTAACTCAGCCCCTCTACAGCCCAGATTTGGTACCCTGTGACTTCTGGCTTTTCCCAAAACTAAAATCACCTTTGAAAGGGAAGATATCTCAGACCATCAATGAGATTCAGAAAAATATGATAGGTTAGCTGATGGCAACGGGAAGAACTTTGTGAGGTCTCAAGGTGCCTACTTTGAAGGGGACTGAAGCATCACTGTCCTATGTACATGTTTCTTGTATCTTCTTCAGTAGGTCTCTCTACTCTTCATATGACATGGCTGGATATCTTCTGGCCAGACCATAGATGCTTGAATTTTATGCAGACTTCCTCATATTTTTTTTACTATTTCTTCATCGCATTTTAAGATTCCATATATCCCATAGAAAAACTATAATGAACTATACAAAGTAATCAAAAGAGCAAATGCTTATATAGTATTTTTCTAGGCACCTTATACATAGTAACACACTTAATCTTCACAACATCTCTATGGTGAAGGCACTGATATTAACCCCATTTTATAGCTGAGGAAACTAAGACAGACAGATTAACATATACAGTCTTATTTAGCTAAATAAGTGGCTGGGCAGGATTTGAACCCAGGAGTCAAACTCCAGACTCTACACTCAATAACCACACTATATATTGTCTCTTACATTTTATTCCTACAAATCACACATCTCCCTCATGAATAATATGGTAGACTGTTTATACTACACATTTCAAAGCATTCCAATATTTTAAACTCATGCACAATAATCAAAACTACCATAAAACTGCATAATTATGCTTTCAGTCAAGATGGAAGCATAAGTAGACACATTTTGCCTCCTTGCACAACCACAAAAAAAGTTACAACAAAGTCTCAAAAACACATAGCACCCAGAACTGTCAGAAAATTGAACAGTATGGAAGTTCAATGATCAAGGATTTAAAGAAGCCATATTCATCCACACAGGTAGGAGGGGCAGAGAGGCGAGAAGACATGGTGTGGCGCAGAGAGGCAGTGGCAGTAGCAGAAATGGCATGGGCAGTCCCACATTCACATGTGGTGGATAAAAATCAAGAGGGATACCTTGGGAGCGAGTGATCCCAGCCTCAGGCAAAACCACATGACCCAGGGTTCCAGCACCAGGAAGATAAATCTCCATAACTTCTAGCTATAAAAACCAGTAGGGGTTTTTATAGGGGTTGGAGCGGTGGAAGAAACTGCTGGATTTTCAGGGAACTCCAATTAAAGGATCTGCACAGTATTATAACGTACCCAAACCCAGCTCTTCTGGGATCAACACCAGGGCAACAGCTTGAAGGGTGCTGTCGCATACAGGGAGTGGGTGAAGTGACTAGAAATGGGGCAAGTGGTGGGTAAACCCCTAGAAGCAAGGCAGCAGCACAGTCCCCTCTCTGAGCCCTCTCCCAACACAGAGCCACAAAGCAGTGAAACAGGCTGCCCAACCCTGATGACTGCCTAAGGTTCCACCTCACACAATTTACAGGTGCCTTTTACAGGGAGTCAACGGAGCTCTACCTAATACATAGAAACAAATACAGGGAGGCTGCCAAATTGAGGAGACAAAGAAATACAGCTCAAAAGAAAGAACAGAACAAAGCCCCAGAAAAAGAAGTAAATGAAACATAGATAGACAACCAATCACATGGAGAGTTCAAAAACCTGGTGATCAGGATGCTCAAAGAACTCACTGAGTACGACAACAACATAAAGGAAGAAATAAAGGTTACACTAAGTGAAATAAAGAAAAATCTGCAGGGAAGGAAGGGAAGGAAGCCAGGACTCATATCCATTTGTAACATAAGGAAGAAATAAGCATTCAACCAGAACAGATAGAAGAAACAATAATTCAAAAAAACAAGGACAATATAAGAAGACTCTGAGACATTTCCAAATGTGCCAACATCCAAATCATAGGAATGACAGAAGGAAAAGAGGAACAGCAAGAAATTGAAAACTTATTTTAAAAAAATAATGAAAGAAAACTTCCCCATTGGGCAAAGGAAATAGACATACAAGTCCAGGAAGCACAGAGAGTCCCAAACAAGTTGGACCTAAAAAGGATCACACCAAGACACATCATAATTAAAATGCCAGTTTAAAGATAAAGAGAACATCTTAAAAGCAACAAGAGAAAAACAGAGTTACCTACAAAGGAGTTCCCATAAGTCTATCAGCTGATTTCTCAAAAGAAACTTTGCAGGCAAGAAGGGACTAGTGAGAAGTATTCAAAGTGATGAAAAGCAACAAACTAGACTACTCTATCCAACAAAGCTATCATTTAGAATTCAAGAGCAGATAAAGTGCTTCCCAAACAAGGTAAAGCTAAGGGAGTTCATCATCACCAAGTCATTATTACATGAAATGTTAAAGGGATTTATTTAAGAAAGAGATCACTACAAACATTAAAAAGGCCATAAATTCATAACTATCAACAACTAAATCTACAAAAACAAAACATTAAAAAAAAACCACAAAGCAAACAACTAAAACAGGAACAGATTCTTCATTGGTATGGAGTC